AGTCTGTGTTGGGACACACAAGCCTGGTAGAGGAGTTTAACTAACAACCACCCTAAGTAGGGATGTCCCGTTCCGATATCGGAGGTAATTCGATATCGGCCCAAAAACAGTGTATCAAATTATATCGAACAGCATCAAAAAGCTCCGATAAAAGCAGCCAAGGTTAAGGCTCACATTTTTGCAACCAATGGTTAAAAAAAAGAAGTCATTATTTTCATGCTTACTGTTATTGGCTCTTGTTCTCTGATTGAGTAATATCACTTGACCAAGTTTTTCCACATTAAAAATAGGTAAAAGTACGTCTGATTTGTGCCGATATCGTATCAGATTGACATCGGTATCGGTCAGTACTGAAGTCTGCAATATCGGTATCGTATCGGAAGTGAAAAAGTTGTATCGGGACAGCCCTAATCCTAAGAGACAATAACTGATATTCTAAAGAAAACCAAAACGAGTATTTCGGATATGAAAGAAGTACCTTCAGTTCACCAAAAAATACATGAAAAACTTACCTGAACATCATAGAGAGCCACAATGTTTTCATGCTGCAGTTCCTGTGGAGAAAAACTACAAGTTAGTGGAACATTAGAGGCTTCAGCTGGAAACACCATCAGCGGTGGTTCTTCGTGGACATTGTGGCTCTAGGGGTCAAAGGTGACCGTGGTCTGGTTCAGCACTTTGCTCACCTTCAGGATTTTAATCTCCTTGCCAAGGAGGATCTGGGACTTGGACAAGTTCTTCTTATTGATGCTCTTGATGGCCACCTCCCAGTCAGTTTTCTTAACGACAGACACAAAAACAGGTTCACCTTCATTATATTTCAAGATTTTCTAACAATGTGGTCATCTCATCTGACCAGTTTAGAGAAATAGTTCATCTATCTGCAGGATTTTACCCACGATAAAGAGTTTTTGTTAATAATACAACTACCATGATCGTAATATTTTAAATAAATTTGTGATGTTTAAATGTTTCTAAACGCAAAGTGTGAGAAGACCTGGCTGGCCTCGCCGTGCGACAGCTGTCTGGAAAGAAGAAACACTTAAGCAGGTCATCCTCCTGAGCCGAAGACCTGCTGAATGAAGACGTGATGACACTTGAAAAAAGCACCAGCCAGCATGTGTTGAGAGCAATGTGAGACGAAGGAAGGGGAACTTTTATGTGCTCCCCTGAGCTGACATCCAGATGGATCTGTGGAGCAGGTATAGAAAATAACTCCTGGAGCTCATGTGAACTGAACCCAAAAACGCCTCATGCAGAAATAAACCCATGGATGCACTGGACCATTTCTGTGTCTTTCTCCGCACACAGAGAGGAAAGTGATGAGAGAATACAGACAAGCTGAGAGGGAAGGAATCTAGGTTAATAGATGTTCCTGTTCTGTTGGTCTAGTCTGCCTGAAGGAAGGCAGGGAGTCTAGCACTGGAATGACACAGCTACAGAGAACATGCTAGTCAGCAGAAATACACAAAGAAATGAGCCGCTTCCATCTTCAGCTCACCGACAGACTCAGTAGGGTGTGACAAGGCTGCCAAAGCTTCAACCACAGAAAACAGGGAGGGAATGGACCCTGATGGCACATCGAGTGATGTTGTTTTATTTTGTGGGTAATAGTTGCACAGTAAGCAAATATAACCTGCTCGGCCACCTGGCAAAAACAGGGGCCAGCTTTCATTTCCCAGAACAGTGAATGATCTAATTTCTGAATCCCAGCTGATTATGGAGCAACAGCACCGTTAGTACCAGTAAGCCTATGCTACTAACAACAGCTGTTTATAACAACAGTAAAATTACACTACTAACAACAGCTGTTTATAACAACAGTAAAATTACGCTACTAACAACAGCTGTTTATAACAACAGTAAAATTACGCTACTAACAACAGCTGTTTATAACAACAGTAAAATTACGCTACTAACAACAGCTGTTTATAACAACAGTAAAATTACGCTACTAACCACAGCTGTTTATAACAACAGTAAAATTACGCTACTAACAACAGCTGTTTATAACAACAGTAAAATTACGCTACTAACAACAGCTGTTTATAACAACAGTAAAATTACGCTACTAACCACAGCTGTTTATAACAACAGTAAAATTACGCTACTAACAACAGCTGTTTATAACAACAGTAAAATTACGCTACTAACAACAGCTGTTTATAACAACAGTAAAATTATGCTGCTAACAACAGCTGTTTATAACAACAGTAAAATTACGCTACTAACAGCTGTTTATAACCACAGAAAAATTACGCTACTAACAACAGCTGTTTATAACAACAGTAAAATTATGCTGCTAACAACAGCTGTTTATAACAACAATAAAATTATGCTGCTAACAACAGCTGTTTATATCAACAGTAAAATTATGCTACTAACAACAGCTGTTTATAACAACAGTAAAATTACGCTACTAAAACAGCTACTAACAACAGCTGTTTATAACAACAGTAAAATTACGCTACTAACAACAGCTGTTTATAACAACAGTAAAATTATGCTACTAACAGCTACTAACAACAGCTGTTTATAACAACAGTAAAATTACGCTACTAACAACAGCTGTTTATAACAACAGTAAAATTACGCTACTAACAACAGCTGTTTATAACAACAGTAAAATTACGCTACTAACAACAGCTGTTTATAACAACAGTAAAATTACGCTACTAACAACAGCTGTTTATAACAACAATAAAATTATGCTGCTAACAACAGCTGTTTATAACAACAGTAAAATTACGCTACTAACAGCTGTTTATAACCACAGAAAAATTACGCTACTAACAACAGCTGTTTATAACAACAGTAAAATTATGCTGCTAACAACAGCTGTTTATAACAACAGTAAAATTATGCTACTAACAACAGCTGTTTATAACAACAGTAAAATTACGCTACTAAAACAGCTACTAACAACAGCTGTTTATAACAACAGTAAAATTACGCTACTAACAACAGCTGTTTATAACAACAGTAAAATTATCAGAAATATTAATCTGTAACATAATCAGCACCAACAGCCACAACATGCTCATCACAATGACCCCCCACTGTTTTTAATGTTACACTGGTGGGATGATGGTAACATAATGCCATGTTCTGAATCTCCAGTCTCCATAGTGATGGTAAACCCAGAAGCTGGGTGACTTATGTCAGTCAATGTTCCTGATATTACATCAGAGATCAACTGATCTCTGAGTCTCAGTACAATGAACCCCACAGCTCTTATATAAGGAGGGCTTAAAAAGGCACCTGCCCTCCTCCTGCCTCAGTACGTCAGCGAGTCATTCACTGCTGCCTGACTCAGTCAGCTCATGAATGAACTAAATAAATGAATTAATTTAAATGAATTAATACTGCGGAGCCTGATCCCGATGTTTAGTGAAGCATCTGAATGATGCACGCACACACACACACACACACACACACACACACACACACACACACACACACACACACACACACACACACACACACACACACACACACACACTTGGAGGAGGTAAAAGCCCACATGATGCTGCAGAGCTGACCCAGATTTCCTCATTAAGCTGCCCTCCTCCTCCTGCAGCAGCAGTGGAAACCAGATGATGAGCTGGTTTCATTACCTTCCTGTGCCGCCCTTTGAAGACCACAGCAAAAGCTCCATGTCCAACCAGGTCCTTCCTGCTGTACTCGAAGTCCCCGACTGTTTCCATCTCTGGGGGGAGTAGGGTCCAGTTGAGGACGACTCGGTAGCCTTGGTGATGCCTCCTTCTTCAGAGGAAAAGCGGGGATAATACCCGCCCACAGCGGATGGTGCCCCCCGCTCTGTGGGATGATTTCAGGCCTTATGGCATTTAAATAAGAGACGAGGCATGGTGCGTTCAGTGCCCTCCGAGCAACTCGGGATGCTTGCAGAGTCACAGATTAGACGGATTTGAGCACAGCTAGCATCAATCCTCAAGCCAAACCGCGTCAGTGTCCCCTGTCTTTGACCCAGTTCGATCCAACAAGGAGACTAACACACTTTGTCCCCGGACATCTGAAATGTCTACATGATGGCATGCCGGGTGGACATGGCTATGCTAGGACTGGAGCGGTAACAGACATGGAGCTCTGTGTTAGCCTGACAGGGACATAACCGAGTCCCTACCGTCATAGCTGTTGTCCTCTGGACGCAGAGACGACAATAATAATAGCATCCACAATCAGCTAGCGCGTCCAACGGTCCCTCAATCTGAACACACAGGCGGTGTAAACCTATCAGACTAGCTAAACAACGAGCTAGTCCACATTAGCCAAAAAGGATCCAAAACACCATTTGATCCGGAGATGTTAGTCCAACCGGTCCATTTGTCCTCTTCACCACAGCTCTGCTTCAGACCAATGGTTTACATGTTCACCCATTGTACACAGAGACAACGTCCCTGTCCTTCTACTGGTCTAACCATGGTCTGGCGATACTGTCACCTTCTGTAATGGTTCCCAGTTTAAACAAAACACTAACTACAAACTGGACTGCGACAAACTAACTGGGACCAGGAAAAAGACTGTCGGGATGAGACTCAGACAATAACACAGCTTCAGCCATATTCCGCTTTTAAAGAGCTCCTTCCGCGGAGGACTGGAGCAGCATATCCTTCCGCTGCAAGAGCTAGTCCGCTGGAGCAGACGGGGCAATTGCAGTTTTCAAAAACAACAGGTAAAAAAATAATACAAGATAAATGTTACATGAAGTTTATAATAACGGCCCAATAAGACGGAAGTTAAAACAAGCCAGAAGCTACTTTTGTTTTTGGAAATTAAGTATGATAAAAACTTTTTTTAAAACGTAACTTTATGTAGCCTACAGTTCTCAAAGTATTTATAAAATTAAAGAAATATAATAGAAAAATTTAATGCTAACATTGTTTCACTTACACTATATGTGTAAATATTTACAACATTTTTACATCTTGTGACAGATTTACAAAAGCCTGACAGAAGGTCCACCTGACTGTGGTGTGATGAAGGGAGAAGCCAAGTGCCAAGCCCTGACTCAACTTTGAACCCACTCATGACCCCGCACTTGTATTCCCATCAGTAATTCTGCCTCTCTATCAGTGACATTATATCACCTTTACCTATTAAGACCAGTCTTATTTTTCATTTAACATGTTAAACATGATTATACATTAATGCAACAGAAGTAGAAAGTTGGCATTCGCTAAGCCTGTTCCTGTTACTAGTGTTGTCTCAGGCATGTTGTACCATTCAGGTGTCACCACAGGTTGGCGCCAAATCCTGTGTGTGTGTGTGTGTGTGTGTGTGTGTGTGTGTGTGTGTGTGTGTGTGTGTGTGTGTGTGTGTGTGTGTGTGTGTGTGTGTGTGTGTGTGTGTGTGTGTGTGTGTGTGTGTGTGTGTTAGTTTCAGAATCTAGTCACAAATATTCTTTACTGCAAACAGTGTAAACAAAATGATGTTTTTAATTTCAAGGCTTCTAAAACAAAAGAATACAATTTCTCAAACACACACACACACACACACACACACACCAGCTCAGTGGCCTAGCAGTAGACGGTCCGCCATGAGACTGGGAGATCAGGGTTCAATTCCCAGTCGGGTCATACTAAAGCCTTTGAAAAAAATGGGACCCAATGCCTCCCTGCTTCTCACTCAGCATTAAATAGTTGGATTGGGGGGTTAAGCCACCAACTGGTTCCCGAGCGCGGCTGTGTCTGCAGCTCACCGCTACCCCAGGGGATGGGTCAAATGCGGAGAACAAATTTCATGCACATATCAGTGTGTGTGACAACTTATGGGACTTTAACTTTAACACACACACACACACACACACACACACACACACACACATGCAGTCATCGCTTAGATGACCTAACTGATCCAACAGGATCTACATGATCTGTCTTGAAGCATTCCTGTTTTTCCACCTTGCAGTCAAACACACCCAAACAGGAAGTGGGTGGATGAGCCTAAATAGAAACTTCTGGGACTACTGATGTGTGAAGCCAGTTGGTTGTGAGGTTCAAGGCAGGAACAATGTCCATCATTCTCCTGGCTGTGGGTGTTTTTATAGGAGCTGCTTTTATTTACCATCATATTGTGGTGAAGGGGAAGAAATGCACAAGCAAAGCAGAGTTGCATGGGAAAACTGTGATTGTGACTGGTGAGTAGTGTTTCTGCTTTAACGCTTTTTATAATGACTTGCTCTTTTGTTTCTGAGTATTGATTGATCCCTACAGGCAGCAACACGGGCATCGGGAGGACCACAGCCATCAATTTGGCTAGAAGAGGAGCCCGAGTCATTCTGGCCTGTCGTTGTAAGCAGAGAGGAGAGGCCGCTCAGGAAGACATAAGACGGGTGAGTGTCCATAGGTACATACAAATCCTGCTGTTTTTCAGGCTCCAGCATTTCAGATGGAAGTATAATGCCTCTGACCTGGCGTTGCTCACTGTCTGCTGCAGGAGAGTGGCAGTAATCAGGTGGTGTTCATGCAGCTGGACCTGGGGAGTCTTGAGTCAGTTCGCAGCTTTGCTGAAACCTTTCTGAAGTCTGAACCCAGACTGGACCTCCTGATCAACAATGCAGGTAAAACCATTCAATCGTCTTTATTCTAGTAGGTTCAGGGAAAAAACACTAAAGTTTACTTTCTTGAAGATTTTTCTGTTCTCATCTGAGGAGATTCAGACATTCAAAACAAAAGTGCAGAATAGAAAGTTTTAAAATGGTAATGGGAGCTTTATTAATATGAGCTAGTCTCAAAACCACTCCCTGAATCCTCAAGGTCTTTGTTGTTCCACCAGACAAGTTTTCATTCCATTCCTGATGGTGTGGAGATCAGATCCAGAGCTGGAACTTCACATCTCTTTTGTTCCTCTCAAACCATAAATCATCTCAATCCAAAATGTCCCGTCCTTTACGCCTCAGCTGTCGGTGAAAACCTTTTTACTGAGTACTTCAGGTTTTGTTAACCAGCTGGAGTAAACGATGACTGTAATATTTGTATCTGTAAATTAGCTGCAGTCTGGGAACAGGCTTTTAGGTGTTTAAATAATTACAATAACCAAGACCACGTGCATTATGCTGGGAATGGTGGTAACATGAATAATGGGAGAGCTGGTTTTTCTGTTGGTGCAAAAAGCCTGAGGCAGAAGGGTGATCTACTGCTGAGACAGAGCCAAGATGGAGAGAGAGTGAGTGAGTGCATGCGTGCACGTGTGTGTGTGTGTGTGTGTGTGTGTGTGTGCGCGCGCGCATGCATGCGTGCGTGTGTGTGTGTGTGTGTGTTGCAGGACTTGATCCGTTTGGTTTTGGTGTGAATGACCAGAGAAGATGGGCTGCATTCCAACTCTGCTACCCTGAACCCATTGCTTTGGGGTTCCCTGAACTTAACCTGTTCCTGTAGTTTTAGGCAGCCATCTTTGCAGCCATATTAAGAAGGTGTAGCAGTTGCATCCTGTCTGCTTATGTGAAGATGTATCATCTCCGCAGAGGCCAGATGGCATAAAGCTCATTAAAGACAATGATTGCTGTATCTCCTTGTTTTATGGCAGGAATCTGCATGCAGGGTCGAACCAAGGATGGATTTGGGCTAATGTTTGGTGTCAACCATCTTGGTCATTTCCTGTTAACTAACTTGCTGCTGGAGCGACTGAAGGAGAGCGCACCCAGCAGGATAGTAAATGTTTCATCCATGGCACACAACTTTGGAAAAATTGATTTCGACAGCCTGAACACCCACAAATGTCTGGGACTTGGGACATCGTCTGTGCGGGTTTTCCAGATTTACTGTGATAGTAAGCTGTGCAACGTTCTCTTCAACCATGAGCTGGCCAAGAGACTGCAGGGAACCAGGGTGACCTGCTATGCCCTCCACCCAGGTAAGTACTAATCACCTGGATGTAAACAGACTGATTCACTGTGAGGTTTTCTGTTTCTGGCCAAGTACATTTCAAAGTGAACAGAGAGCAAAAGACAGGCTCTTAGAACAGCTGGTCAGAATACCATCAAAATGGTGATTGGTTCGGTCCCCAGCCCCTTACACGAGTTCTCCACAACTATGGACCGTGTGTGAACTACCCTGGAAGAGTTGAGACAACATCATTTCTTTCTAAACATATGAGAGAGGAGGACATCCTGAAGCCACCTTCAGTAGGAGTAACTTCAGGTTAATCTTCTCCTGTTTGATCTTCTCCATTTCCTACACACATCTGGTGGAAATGAGTCTGTTTTTTTTTTCCAACACTACTTGGGTTCTTTGAGATTTGCAGACATGAAGACAGGTCCTACCACATCATGCAAGGCTGGTTCTGGTCTGGACTCTGACTGGACGACTGCAGAACCTTGATTCAAACCTTTTCAGCTGTTTGGTTGTAGATTTGTCACAGGATCCAGCTCGGGCTGAGCCAGCACAGCCACTCCAGGGAAGACCGCAGACATTTTCTAATTGTGAATAGCCTTTCCGATAGCTTGTAAATGACCTTTGACCCTTCCCAAATTGATGGACAACATCAACTGCTTCTCTGAGTTCAGTGCTGATGTCTTTTCTCTGTTGTGTTAACACACGCCTGTATGCTCCAGAGAAGCAACTTTTATTATGGTTAATTTTAAGCTCTAATGAGGTTCAGCTAGTCAAAGCCTTTAGTAAACACAATCTTGGTGCTATTTACCATCTATGGAGGCTGGAGCAGACGTAGCTTTTTACACAGTTCCTTTCTTTTTTGGTAAATCAATGCTGACTCAGTTGATTGTGTCTTTGGTGAAGTTTCCGCTTCTGGTTTTAAATTCAAATTCAAATTTTTTTTGTCACATACACATTCATACACAGTACGAAATGCAGTGAAATGCCTTACACAACTGCTCGTGACCTAAGAGTTGAAAATAAAAAAACTGTACACCACGGATTAAAATGAAGGGTAAATTTAACTGGGAAAGAGTAAGGTAAAATATATCTCAATTAAAGTTGAATAATAGAATAGCTTTACAACAAAATACACAATACAATACAAATTAGAATAAAAGGTAAATTTAGCTGCGAATGAATAAGATATAATATATGTAAGTTGAAGTTGAGAATAAAGTAACTGTACAACAAAATACACAGTATGTAAATGTATAAGAATGTATAAAGAAATAAAAATATCTATACAAAACAGCGGCTGAACAAGTATTAAATGGAAATGAAAACATATATATATATATATATATATATATATATATATATATATATATATATATATATATATATATATATATAAAATGTCCAGAGTTGTGCAAACCACATTTTAGTGACTTTGTAGTGCAACTGTGCTTAAGCAAAGTCCAGACTGTTCAATGTGTGTGAGAACCATATGTGTGTGCACTTACTATGTGGTGGTGTGGTTTAAAGATCGTTTGAATCGTAAGACTAGAACTGCAACACACCTGCTCTGTGCTATGAATGGAAAGCTGTGTGGAAACTTTGGATTGGTTCTGTTTGTTCAGATTTGGAAAGTTCGTCGTAATAGTTTCGGGGTCAGGAACTGCAAAATATTTGCACAACAGTTGCCTCTCAAAATCGTTGCAGAGTAGTTTCCAGCAGTTGATTCTTTCTCAATTGTGTGTGTGTGTGTGTGTGTGTGTGTGTGTGTGTGTGTGTGTGTGTGTGTGTGTGTGTGTGTGTGTGTGTGTGTGTTTTGTGAATCAGAAACTGGATAAATGTGGGGAAACATTTTTGGAGATAAAAAATTTAAAACGATTTATTTTTAGGTTAATTTGCAGCAACAAAATTTACTTGGTTGTTTAAAACTTGAAGAAAAATTACACAGGCAACTGAGGCCAGTCACACATTTATGCTGGACACACATGACCTGATACATCTGGCAGGAAGGGGCCAACTTGTAGCTTGTTTACTTTTATACCAGCTAAGCATAAGTTTAATGGTTCTACTTTGTGACCTTGCAGGTGCCATCAGCTCTGAGCTGGGCAGGAACACAAGCTCACTTTTACATGTACTTCTGAAGCCCGTGACTGTACTCTTCTTCAAGAACACTGTCCAGGGATGCCAGACCACCCTGCACTGTGCCCTGCAGGAGGGCATCGAGCCGCTCAGTGGACGCTACTTCTCCAACTGCACTGTGAGAGAACTCTTCGCTAAAGCCAAGGATGATGCTGCAGCCAAAAAGCTGTGGGAGATCAGTGAAAGACTCTGTGGCCTTGTGTAAAAATGTTTTTTAAAAATCCAGATTTTTGGGTGTCAGGGCATTGCTGCGGATCCTGCCTGACTGAAATCTTCATATCAAGATGAAAAATGTCATGTAGAGGTGAGATTGGATAAATGTTTCAATGTCCATCATAACAGAACAAAAGGAAGAGCTGATCTGAAGCCACGGACGGTCTTTCTAAGCCTTATTGATGTTGACTTAACCAGGAAACACCTGCTCCACGTGCAATGTGTAATAACATGTAATAAACAACCAGACGTCTGCTCTGTGGTAAAGGTTTTTAATAAGTCAGTAACTAATGAAAACCTGGTGTAGGAGATGTTCCTAACAGATTTTAATGGAAAATAACCAGCCGAGAATTTCTGAATTGGCTTCTGGTCACACAGGTTTGGTGGGATGTTGGGCGGGGAAGTGATTTATAGAAGAGAAGAGGTGTTATGGAAGACGAGTCAAAGCACTGTTAAATACCACACGTATACTACGAAGTCTGCCAAAGTTTTATAAACTTGTTTATGATCCTCCACCAAAGCCTGACGTTATTCAGCATCATAAAACACCACAGGTGCAGGAAACCCGGCATGTTCAAACTGTTGTTTCAGGTTTTAGAGTTGTCTCCCCCACCTAGAACGACATGTAACTTAACCCTAAAGGAGAGAAGATGGACAGCTTCTCTGTTCAAACACAACATAAGAAACAACCTCAGCAGGGCTCATGGAGATCAGATCAGGGAAACTCTGTCTCACAAAACAAAGGTCCGTCTGTCACTGGATGACTCGACCTTCAGTTGAATTTCGTCATTCAGACCCTCCTCATTGGTCCCGTGTTGAGACAAGCACTTAGCACACCTGCTGCCATTGATGATAAGAGAGCCAACTAACTAGACTTAAATTAGAAAAGTGAATGTTAGAAGGGAAAAGATATTTCTGGGCGTTTATTTTAAAACCAGCTTTTCCACGGCACTGAATAAGTAGGTCAAAGGCACCTGTTGACCTCTGACTTACGCAAAGATTTTTCTGGTTCTTCTGCAATACCAACTGTGGCATGCACAAAATGTTGCACAACATTGGTTCTGTGAGTACAAACTGATTCATCAGCATGTTCATCAAATGTTGAAGGCATTTGTTAGATAAAGTGGCATCTGAAACCTGTCCACGCTGGTAACTCTGCTTCAGAAGAATGACTAACCCTTCAGGTATGTCTGGTCTAGCAGCCAGATAGAAAAAAGCTGTGAAACACGGGCATGACCTCAGATTTTATGTATCTCTGTCAGTAGAAACTCCATTTCAGATGCTGAATGCTGCGGGGGCATCGTCATTCTGAAATGAGGCTTTGTGTAAAACGTAGTAATAATTCCTGACATACTCGGTGTGGAGCTAGCTTGAGCTAACGGCTAATCAGAGCTAACACCAGTCTGAGCCAGTTCTGGCTTTATGCTCAGACCAGCTCTAGATAGCAGTTAGTCTTACCCAGTACCCATATACCCTAGGTACCAAGCTTATGTTCTGTGTGTGAAACCACATCATCTCTTCTGCTTGTTCTTTAAATAAGAAGGAACTATTTGAACTGAACGACTAACTTTCACTTTGAGCTTTACATGACGGCTCATCAAACTTGTTGTGGTTATTTAAGAGGAACCTGATGTTCTGCATCAAATGTCTGCATGTCTCCTGCAGCCCATAAGAGCATCCATGTGAAGGAATTTAGACTGGTGCTGTTTAGCCAACAAAAACAGAAGCACCACTGCCACCAAGCCACATAACATCTGACACATGGAATCATGCAGCTCCTGTTTATTATTTGATGTTTGGTGGTTGGTGAACACTTGACAAAAGGCCAGTATTTGGTAAAGCACCTTCTAGAGGTCTAGAACCCCCAAAGTGCTTTACAACATAATCATTCATCCACCAATCCGTGGTGATGAGCTACAGTGTAGCCACAGCTGCCCTGGGGCGCACTGACACCACCAATCCCCCCGACCACCACCAAAAGGCAGGGTGGGTGAAGTGTCCTGCCCAAGGATACAACAGCAGCATTCTCTGGCAGGAGCTGGAATCGATCCTACGACCTTCTGATAACAGCCCGCTCTACCTCCTGAGATACTGCTGCCCCGTGAAGCTTATTGTCCAGATTCTACTGGGAATTGGCACAGACTTGGACTGAGAGCTTCATCCAAATTAAAACCAGTTACATTAAAGCTATTTTTAAATTGCAACATCATAGTTTTTTATTTTCTACAATAATGGTGAAGAGGATATCTCTCAGTTAACTGTGGCTAAATTCTTGTTTTCTTGCATCTTTATCATTAATCTGGATCAAGACAGAAATATTGAATGTTAAAGAGAACAATAAACAGCTGGGTGTAAGAAGGTTCATCCATCCATTCATTTTCATCTGCTTATCTGGAGTCGGGTCGCGGGGGCAGTAGCCTAAGGCGAGAGGCCCACACTTCCCTCTCCCCAGCCACTTGGGCCAAATCCTCCTGGGGAATCCCAAGGCGTTCCCCAGCCAGATGAGAGACACAGTCCCTCCACCATACCCTGGGTATACCTTTAGGTCTCCTACCGGTTGGACGTGCCCAGAAAACCTCACCAGGGAGGCGTCCAGGAGGGATATTGACCGGATGCCCGAGCCACCTCAACTGGCTCCTCCCGATGTGGAGGAGCAGCAGGTCTGCTCTGAGCTCCTCCCGAATGACTGAGCTTCTAACCCTATCTCTGACGCCAGGGACACACCGGCTGCCGAAGCGCCGCAAAACGGGGACCGCCTTCATTCGGCGCCCTTGTTATCCTATTCTATAGACCATATGGGCCGCCGAAGCACCGCAAAGCGCCGCGCGCCGTGCAGCAATTGTTTCGGCATCTGCTCTATATTTTTTGTGAGCCGCGGGTGAATCGCGTCAATTCTGGTAGGAAGTCAAACCTAGACATGAGAGGCAGGCCGGTAAATTTAACAAAATAAAGCATTTCAAAATACAATTTTGCGATAGTCAAATGTGTTCGTAAACAGACACTGCATAAAAACCACACACACACACACACACACACACCTCGTGAAGGGGGTGTGGTTTTGGGTGTCTTTCAACCGGAGCAAACAGGACAGAGAGGAAGAAAGTTGTAGGCCAGCTATTAACGACTGGTTCACACCATAGGTTCACACACACGTGGACAAACACATACAAACAGCAAGGGGGAGGGGGGTGTAGAGCAAAAGAGCAGAGAAAAGGCAGAGAGGAAATGGAGGACACCAAGTGGTTAAAAGAAAAACTGCGAGGTGCGCCTCGACCAGAGCGGAGAAACAAGCGGTCAAACGCCTTCTCCAAATCCAAAAAACACATGTAGACTGGTTGGTCAAATTTCCACGCACCCTCTAAGATCCCTCTAAGGGTATAGAGCTGGTCCAGTGTTCCATGGCCAGGATGAAAACCACATTGCTCCTCCTGAATCTGAGGTTCAACAATCCGATGGACCCTCCTCTCCAAAACCCCTGAATAGACCTTACCAGGAAGGCTCAGGAGTGTGATCGCCCTGTAGTTGGAACACACCCTGCGGTCCCCTTTTTTAAATAAGGGGACCACCACCCCGATCTGCCAGTCCAGTGGGACTGCCCCCAATTTCCACGCAATATTGCAGAGCCACGTCAGCCAACACAGCCCCAAAAGGTTCATGTTGAGGGAAAAAGCAGTACTTGGTAAAAGTTTCAACTCGTTTCTCCTCCACCCAGACTTTAAACTAGTCTGGATCAGCAGGAAACAGACTTACAGTTTTTCTTTGTCGTCGTCGTCTTCCTCCGCTTATCCGGGTCCGGGTCGCGGGGGCAGCATCCCAACTAGGGAGCTCCAGACCGCCCTCTCCCCAGCCAACTCCACCAGTTCCTCCGGCAGGACCCTAAGGCGTTCCCGGACCAGCTTGGAGATGTAACCTCTCCGACGTGTCCTGGGTCGACCTGGGGGCCTCCTGCCGGCAGGACATGCCCGAAACACCTCCCCGGGGAGGCGTTCAGGAGGCATCCTGACCAGATGCCCAAACCACCTCAACTGACTCCTTTCGATCCGGAGGAGCAGCGGTTCTACTCCGAGTCCCTCCCGAATGTCAGAGCTCCTCACCCTATCTCTAAGGCTGAGCCCGGCCGCCCTACGGAGGAAACTCTTTTCAGCCGCTTGTATTCGCGATCTCGTTCTTTCAGTCATTACCTAAAGCTCATGACCATAGGTGAGGATTGGGACATAGATCGACCGGTAAATTGAGAGTCTGGCTTTCTGGCTCAGCTCCCTCTTCACCACGACAGATCAGCTCAACAATCCGCCTATCGATCTCCCGATCCCTACTACCCTCACTCGTGAATAAGACCAAGATACTTAAACTCCTCCACTTGAGGTAGGACCTCTCTCCCGACCCGGAGTTGGCAAGCCACCCTTTCCCGGTCGAGAACCATGGTCTCAGATTTGGAGGTGCTGGTCCTCATCCCAGCCGCTTCACACTCGGCCGCGAACCTACCCAGCAAGAGCTGAAGGACAGAGCTGGATGAAGCTAGGAGGACCACATCATCCGCAAAAAGCAGAGATGAGATTCTCCTGCCATCAAACTTGACACACTCCACACCACTGCTGCGCCTAGAAATTCTGTCCATAAAGGTTATGAACAGAACCGGTGACAAAGGGCAGCCCTGGCGGAGTCCAACCCTCACCGGGAACAGGTCTGACTTACTACCGGCTATGCGGACCAAACTCACGCTCCTCTGGTAAAGGGACTGAATGGCCCTTAACAAAAGGCCACCCACCCCATACTCCTGGAGCGTCCCCCACAGGGTGCCCCTGGGGACACGGCCATAAGCCTTCTCAGAATCCACAAAACACATGTGGACTGGTTGGGCAAACTCCCATGCCCCCTCCATCACCCTTGCAAGGGTATAGAGCTGGTCCACAGTTCCATAGCCAGGACGAAAACCACATTGCTCCTCCTCAATCTGAGATTCAACTATCAATCAAACCCTCCTCTCCAGTACCTTGGAGTAGACTTTTCCAGGGAGGCTGAGGAGTGTGATCCCCCTATAGTTGGAACACACCCTCCGGTGACCCTTCTTAAAGATGGGGACCACCACCCCGGTCTGTCACTCCACAGGAACTGCCCCTGATGACCACGCAATGTTGCAGAGACGTGTCAACCACGACAGCCCTACCACATCCATAGCCTTGAGATACACAGGACGAATCTCATCCACCCACGGGCTCCACCGCTGTGTAGTTGTTTGACTACCTCAGCAACTTCTGCCCCAGAGACTGGACAGTCCATCCCCAGGTCTCCCGGCTCTGGCTCCTCCTCAGAATGCGCGTAGGTGAGATTGAGGAGCTCCTCAAAGTATTCCTTCCACCGCCCGACTATAGCCCCAGTTGACGTCAGCAGCTCCCCATCCCCACTGTAAACAGTGTGAGCGAGTTGCTGCCTCCCTCTCCTGAGGCGCCGGACAGTTTGCCAGAACCTCTTTGGCACTGATCGATCGTCTTTCTCCATGGCCTCACCAAACTCCTCCCATGCCTGAGATTTTGCCTCAGCAACTGCCACTGCTGCACCCCGCTTGGCTATCCGGTACCAGTCTGCTGCCTCCGGAGACCCACAGACCAGCCACGCCCTGTAGGCCTCCTTCTTCAGCCTGATGGCTCCCCGAACCTCTGGTGTCCACCAGCGGGTACGGTGGTTGCCACCACGACTGGCACCGGCCACCTTACGACCACAGCTAGCAACAGCTGCCTCAGCAATTGCAGAGTGGAACAAGGCCCACTCGGAGTCGATGTCCCCCACTGCTCTCGGGACACGGTCAAAGCTCTGCTGGAGGAGGGAGTTGAAGACCGTCTTGACAGGTTCTTCTGCCAAGCGTTCCCAGCAGACCCTCACTATGCGTTTGGGTCTGCCTGGTCTACGCGGCATCTTCCCCTGCCATCCGATCCAACTCACCACCAGGTGGTGATCAGTTGACAGCTCTGCTCCTCTCTTCACTCGGGTGTCCAAAACATACGGCCGCAGGTAAGATGATACGACTACAAAGTCTATCATCGACCTGCGACCTAGGCTGCCCTGGTACCAAGTGTACCGATGGGCATCCTTATGTTCGAACATAGTGTTCGTTATGGCCAAACTGCGGCTTGCACAGAAGTCCAATAACAAAACACCACTCAAGTTCATATCAGGCGGGCTGTTCCTCCCAATCACACCCCTCCAGGTCATGCTGTCATTGCCCACATGAGCATTGAAGTCCCCCAGCAGGACAATGGAGTCCCCTGATGGAGCACCATGTAGCACTCGTCCCAGGAACTCCAAAAAGGGTGGGTACTCTGAACTGATATTTGGCGCATAAGCACAAACAACAGTCAGGACCCGTTCCTCGACCCGAAGGCACAGGGAAGCTACCCTCTCGTCCCCCGGGGTAAACCCCAACACACAGACAGAGTGTCTTGGGGCTAACAAAAAGCCAACCCCAGCCCTCCACCTCTCACCCGGAGCAACTCCAGCAAAAGAGAGTGTCCAACCCCTCTCAAGGACTTGGGTTCCAGAGCCAATGCTATATGTCGAGGTGAGTCCAACTATATCTAGCCGGTACCGCTCAACCTCTGCCACAAGTTCCTGCTCCTTCCCCGCCAGCGAGGTGACGTTCCATGTCCCAACAACCAGTTTCCTTGTCCGGGGATCGGACCGCCAAGGCTCCCGCCTCTGTCTGCCACCCGATCCACACTGCTCAGTTTTTATTTGTGCGGAAATTAAAGAGTTAAAAGTTTTCTTTTAACTTCTTTTAGAACTTTATCTGTATCTGTGGTTCATGAGTTTAACTGAGGGCCTAGATGACCACCATCCTGCATATTTAACTTGTTTCCCTGCTCCACCACGCTTGTTTAGGAAGTTCTGGAATTCTTCAGAAGCATGTTACTAACAAACTAATTAAGACCAGGAGAGTTGGAGCAGAGAAACATCTACAGTGTGGTGCTCAAGTACTCATACCCTTTGAATTGAACTACATAGATTGACACCATACAACCACAAACTTAAATGTTTTATTTTTTCTGTGATTGACCAACACATGATTATAAAGTTGAATAAAACTGGTGCACATGTTTCAAACTATTAAGGAAAAAAAAAAATAATCTGAAGCCTGTGGTTGTAAAGGGTCAGTGTGTGTAAAAGGCATTGCAAGACCTGCAGGATGCTGGCCCCCGAGGACCAGGACATGAATTAAGTGTTCTTCGGTAAGTCAGACGTTCTGGTCCCACAGGTAAAGGTAGCTGCTGTCTCTGGTGAGTGTGTGCAGTCAGGAAATAAAAGCAGATGCATCAGAATTGCTGCAGAAATCTTTTAATCCTGTCACATTTCTTGGCTCATTCAAAATTACTTTCTCCAATTTCATGGCTTGCATCTACAATTTTTTATCACAGAACAAATTTCCCATGAGACTTGAAAGTAGAGGGTGTCCAGTCCCGGTCCTTGAGGGTCCCCTGCATATTTTAGAGGTGTATCTTCTTCAACACAACTAATTTTAATCTGTGATGATTAACATGCTTCCTCGGTGCTTGATGACCAACTGAAAAGACGATTTAATTATTCAATCAGGTGCTGGGACAGGGAAATAAATAAAACATGCAGGACCAGAGTTGGGCACCACCACTTTAAAGCAACATCTTTTACCTCCACGGCAGGCAGGTTAACCCTCTCAGGCTCAAAATAAGTTTTGATAAAAGGACGAACAACTAAGTCCTTCAGGGGTACTTCTGAATTTAAAAAATGCTCATGAAATACATATGTGGAGTAACCAGGTAGGTAGGTTTTAACGTTGCAAATCTGCACCGCCTGCCTCCAGAGGGTTAAAGGGGACAAAGAATCAAAACCAATATTTTCTTGTTGTTTGTGAATAAAGACATCTTGGGTGGTAAAAAGTAGCATGCCAAAGCATCAAAGCCGTGCGTGACCTACTTTTTATGTAAATTAGAAAGTTTAAAAATGCCAGAGTAAAACTTGTTTTCTGAGAAATCTTTCATAAAAATGTCACAATGTGTGGAGCCCCTCCTCCTCCAAGCTGCAGACTCCAGTGTCTGCGGCCTTCTGGTTTAAACCAGCCAATCAGCAAACAGCTCATTAGCATATTCTGGGACAGATAAAGGCAGATTGAAAATGTATTTACTTACATTTGTTGTAGATTTACTTCATCCAGAGTAGACGTAATGTCTGACGGGTGCCTGCAGAAGCAGCCCAAACCATCAGCCCCCTACCACTGTGCAGACAGCTGGGGTTCGCAGTTTGTACTGGATAAGCTGTTTGATTTAACATGGAGCTGTGCATTATGAGTAAACACATCAACTTTGGTCACGTGTCTAACAGAAGTTTTGTGGTTCATTCAGGATTGTTTTTGTTAACAGGGACCTGTATACTCCAGAATACTCCTGCTTTTATGGAAGAACTCAAAGTTATAAATGAATAATCTGATCAGCGGCTCCTGATGACTCGTCAGTCTGTTCATTCAGTTTATAGCAGTAGGGTTGAACTTGCTCCCTCCGAAATGTATATTAAAGTAAGCCAACATACCCAAACTGGTTTCATTTAAAATAATAATTACAGGTGAAACTGGTGCAAAAGTTCTTTTATGTCAGTAATTCAACTTAAAAGGTGAAACTAATATGGGACAGACTCATTCAATGCAAAGCCAGATATTTCATAGCTTGGCAAAGCCATCCTATACATGAATATGTAGGAAACGTCAAGCACATTTTGCTTTGACAAATGACGATCTAGATTCTAGGCTACATATTTGAATCATTATTTGTTATAATTCTGATGATAATGATCACAGTTTATGAAAACCCTTCATTCAGAATATCACATCATTTGAATATTGAGAAAAGGTTCAATATTCTAGACTCAATGTGTCACACTCTAATCAGCTAATGAATCTACAACAGCTACAGAGGATTCCTGAGCCTTTAGATGGTCTCTCAGTCTAAGATGAGTGACATAAGTGGACTTTTACATCATAATCTATATGTTTTAAACATATGTTTTCCAGTTTCACCTGTAGCTCGTCAACTTGTCTTATTTACCAGCAGCAGTTCTGACACACATGCATGCACGCATGCACTCAAACACACACACACACACACACACACACACACACACACACACACACACACACACACACACACACACACACACACACACACACACACACACACACAAATACATCTTTCTCATTCAACATGTGTTCTCAGAGTTGTTGGGATGCTGTCAGTTAAAATCAAATCACACAGTTCAGATCTGGTATTGCTTCATTTGCTCTTCTTGGTTTTGGCTGAGGAGTTTCCAGGCTTGGAGCTGGAGTTGTAGGCGGGGGACAGCAGCATGGTGAGGAGCAGCAGCACAGGCACCAGCAGGTACGGTGCATAGATTGAGACCAGTAGCCAGCGCTCCTGTGGGGTTTGGGGACCCGGATGGGGTTCGACAGGGAACTGATGGAAGAGGATGTGGGAAAGGATGGGAACAAGTGTGGTGGCTACATGTGTGGAATACACAATGGCAGGAATCCGGATCCACTTACAGTCACCTGGAAGACAAGATTGATCAGGAGACTGGTCTGAGCAATGCCAGTTACCATGGAAATGGGTGCTAAGGAGGCATAAAGACCTGGTGCTCTGAACTGATACGTAACATAAACTATTATCTCTCCACCTGACCGCTCACTGATGGGATTAGCTGTTTATGCTCCAGTCATACTGCTGTGCATAATGGGTAGCAATATCCGCATCATTCCAGAATTCCTCAGTCAGATGTCACATTAGCAACTTAAACTGAGCAACCATGTTGTTTTAAGCCGACACAGGATGAAGGTGAAGACTGATGATGGATCACAGACACAATGATCCATCTAAGCTGCAGGCTGATGCCCCAAACTCTGGAGAGGGCAGTGGTTGTTGGTGGTATATGTACAGTCTATGGTGGTAACGCACCAGTCCATTAGTAGCAGTAGAAGAAGAAAACAAACATGACGACCAGCATGCTGCTGGGGAACCATCAGCTTTACTTTGTAATTGCCCTCTCATGAACTCTGACCTTTACCCTGCTAACTGAGACTCCTGGACACAAGTGGCTGCTTCTTGCCTCCTGAGTTCCTAAAGAGCACAAATCCACTGTCTCACAAAGCATTTCTGCATTTAAAATATATTAAAAATATGAAATCTCATATATTGTATTGAACTTACCTTAAAACCAGATATTGACACGAGTATTAAGTGTCTTTCCTTTTATACCTAAAGATGAATCTGACCTCACTGGAGGGAGTGAGGGTGTCAGGATTACCGTAACAGATGATGATCAGCATCTTAAACCCAAATATCTAACTTTATTAAGATTTCACACTGTTAAACTGAAACAAAATATCCAACATTAATCCCTCTAGAAAACTCACCATCACTACGAAGTAATCCATGCAAGCAGCAACAGATTCTCCATGTGGAGATCAGGTTTACCCATTTATAAACATTCACATTTCTTTCAGATAAAACTTAATCATCAGTATCTGTACTAAAACTAGACATCTCCAGTAACGTTTGAGTAAAATCCCAGGATTGATGATTAATATTGGGCGCTTTTTATGGGGTGCCATTTGTAAAGTCAAACAGTCATAATCTAACAGCAATGTTTTTGGTTATTTAGCATATCATAAGAGAAAAAATTGGGAGTTCACTTTTTCGAAGTCATATTTTCACCATGTTATTCATACATTTATAAATGTTAAAGTTTCCAAAATAAATATTTAGTTCCAAAATAAATATTTAATTAGTAAATTAAATATTTATTTTACAAACTAAATATTTAGATCAGACCTAAATATTTAGTTTGCAAAATAAATATTTAACTGTAAATTAAATATTTAGCTTGCTAACTAAATATTTATTTGGAAACTTTAACATTTATAAATGTATGAATAACATGGTGAAAATATGACTTCGAAAAAGTAAACTCCCAATTCTTTCTCTTATGATATGCTAAATAACCAAAAATATTGCTGTTAGATTATGACTGTTTGACTTTACAAATGGCACCCCATAGCTTTTAACATTCTATTTTCATGGAGAAAAAGTCCACCACACACAAAAGCCACAGATATAAAACAGAAATGCATAATAAACAGTTTGATTGCATGCTGACAAAAACAGCATTTATTATTATATGTACTAGTGTGAACACCTGCTGTCTGTCTCTGATCTGAGGTTTGCGTTTACTCACCTTTGAGGAAGGCGTAAGCTGCAACTGGGAAGAAGGGCGTCTGCAGGAGCGCCTCACAGTAAATAAACGACCGGAACCACTCAGGGGGGTCCACAACCATAGGATCCTTGAACTCCTCAGCATACCACCGGAGGAGATCCCGCAGCTGCAGGAGCACAGCGGCAGCACATCACGCACTAACCGGGATCAGGGTTAGTCCTGCGGGCAGAAGCCACTTACCAGCTCGGGGTACACGTGTCCCGGTAGGAGGGCCTGGAGATCAATAAATAATGTTATCGGGATGTGGGAGAAAAAATAAAAGAAAAACAAAACTTCCAACAGACGGAGAGCCATCTCTTAAAAACTCAGACAGGACCACAGATTAGCACTGGGTCGAAGTTCGGAGCAGAGGTGCGTCGCAAAAACGCCTGTTTCCAAATCCAATCCTATTGGTTCTGGGAGGGGAAGGGGCGTTCCACACGGTCCTTAGTCCAGGGGCGGAGAGGTGGTCTCTCAGGGTGGCACGAGCCTTCAGCAGGGGGCGTGGCTTATTATTATATTAATACAGTCTGACTGCTGAGTTGGGGTTAATTTATCTTTTTGCACGTTAGGAAATATGTTTTTCATTAAAGGTGTGGAATAGTTGTTCAATCAATACACGTGTGTTCTCTAGAATGAATGCCTTGTAAGTGTACTGTGTGTGTGTGTGTGTGTGTGTGTGTGTGTGTGTGTGTGTGTGTGTGCGTGTGCAGGGGCGCCGTAAAGTGGTGAAAGATTAGGAAGATTCTAAGGGCCCACAGCTGTCAGGGCCACAAAAAAGTTTCAAAATTGAATTAAAAAAAAGTTTAAAAATCACAAGTACTTTACTTTGTAGTATTTTTTCTCATTTAAGACATTAAACAAACATTCTTTTAGTCTTATGAAATGTATATTTATTCAGAGGTCCCTACTTTATTTTGACTAATTAATTTGACACCCCAGAATCGACATGAGCTATTGTGGGAAGACATTTAAACTACATTTACATACAGATACATGAATTTTTTATTCCATGTTACTTGGACGGGCTAAACAAGTTCATAGTTCTGCCTGCTCCTTTTTCAGTGAAACGAATGGATTATATGATGTAACTCTGACTGAATAATTATCTAAGTGAGCATGTTTGATAATAAATTTCTTACCAGTATACCGATCTGACATTTGTCAGAACAGGACAAATCAGATTCAATGTGCTTTCTGTCACCCTAAATCAGATCCATATCTGATGTTTTTATTACTTAAGTTTGTATGAACAGTACATTTGATACCACTTTTACATCTCTGAAGTGAAACAGATGTCACATAAGCGCTTGAGGAAGTGGGACACTAAATGTAAACAATGGATAAAACAAAATGATATATTTTGTGAGGTACTGGTTAGAGATAGTTGGGAAGCACTGATCTAGGTAATGCACCACAAGCATTTTTATTTTACAAGCATCAAAATAATCGCAACCCTCTTCTTTTTCTGTCACACCTAACACATACATAAACACACACCAATTCTATGTCACAGCTGATGCCTTCATTAAATCTAATAAAATCTATAGTAACTATAGTCTGGTGACTAGTGTCTAGTTTAGCTACATTTAGCTTAGCTGGAGTAATATAGTCTAACTCTGCCTCAACTGGTGACTTTTCTACTTCATTGTCAGCCAGACAAAATGTTGCTACAGAGAAACGCCCAAGGTACTGACCCCAAAATAAAAAATCATGTCCACATTTATTTCACACAATCTCAAACGTCACACTAAAATTTAACTTTTAGCTCTGATTTAATTATTTCCTTATTGATATCAGATTTCCCTTTGTTGTAGGCAATCCTCGGGTGTCAGCAGGAGGTGACCACCTGCATAACGGAGCACCCTGGTTCTGAGCCAGTTGCACCTTTGTGCTGCTCTTTGGGGAGACAGTGCTCAGCAGGTTAAACAACTGTAAAATTGATTTTGTTCGTAGTTTTTGTTTAGATCTCATACATCACCAGTTTTTCTTTCTTACAGACACATGCCTCCGTGTGATCAGGTGGTGTTGGTGTGATCTGGGAGGGCACACTCATGTCGTCATCTCCTTGTGCCGTCTCCAGGATCCTGATGGGAGTTCTCTGTGCCTATAAAGCAGGGGTATTTACTTCTGGGCCTGGAGGGCCGGTTTCCAGCACGTTTTAGTTTCAACTCTGTTTCAACACACCTGATTTCAGTCCGCAGATAATTAACAGGCTTCTGCAGAGCTGCTGCACAGGTAATTCAACCACTGATTCAAGTGTGTTGGAGCAGAGAAACAACTAAAAGGTGCTGGATACCAGCCATCCAGGACTAGAATTGAATACCCCTGCTATAAAGCCTTCCTCCCTCCTCTGGACTTTAAACATTAGTATTTTATTATGGTTTACCTGATTTAGTAAATAAATCTCAATTTATAAATTTCCTGTTTTGGTGCCTGTCCATAAAATCCTGCATTAGACACCGAAAGCTGAATGGATGCCTTTCATTCACTTTGACATTCAATGTATTTTTAAAGATACACTTGAAATTAATGTCAGCTGTTTAACAGAGTGGTGCAAAATAATTGCTAATGTCAGGATTTTTGCAATAACCTGACCTTCGTGCAGAGAAACTCAGGAGACAAATGAGCTAAAAACAGTTTATTAAAATGTTTGACGGATGACTGAAGAGATAACAGCTGGAGATCAGGAACCAGAAGCTTCTGCAAGGAAGAGCAGAGGTTAGTAAGAGGCAACAGGTCAGGTTTTTCTTAGACTGTGCAGGTAGCTTACAGAGACTGAGAAACGCCACAGAGATGGAGCCACAGGTTTTAGTGTTTAAAGATCAGAAGGCCCTGAGGTAAAATTGAGTGTTAGTAATGACTAAAGAATGACTTACAAAAGGAAAAGTTTAGGTACTTACGGTCTGAAGTTGTAGCGCAGACAGGAGATGGCAGAATGGTGGAGAAACAACCAAAAGTCTGGGAGAATGACAGCATGAGTTGCAAGTGGGTGAGCAGAAGGTAGTGGGTAAGCCGACAGACAGTATGGTTGTGTGATCAGGAGCTTCAAGGAAAGAATTTAGATCTGCATAGAAAATGAGAACGTAAGTTTGAAAAACGGCAGTCATGGGCTAGATATGGGTTAAAACACTGATGAGTGACCAGCTACCAGCTTTTATTCAAGGATGGGGTTACAGGTGTGTGAGGATGTGCCTGCCCCATGAGAAGAGTTTTCAGGTAAGCCTCTCCATGGTGCTCTGCCATGGTGACTAGCAAGGCTAATGAAGAGATTAAAGGGAACACAAACCCAGGACTCCGACACAAACTTCTGACAGCAACACAACGACTCCTCCCACAGGCGGTTGTTCCATGGGAGTACAGTCGCACGCAGCTGCTCGAAGTTCAGCATCAGGCAACTTGTAGGCGATATAATCATACGTGGCTTCTGAGCATGCAAGTTTATTCTAGCTGTACAGCGTACAATAATAATAAAGATTTATTTTGTGTTGTGTTGTTCACCTTACAGGTTCTGTTAAAATCTTAACCTGTGCCTGCTTACAGCAGGTCTTTCAGGTCTTTTGAACTAGACACAGAGAGGTTCAGGCACAGGTACTCAGTCAGACTCCTGATATGGTAGAGCATCCACCATCACAGACTCGAACAATAGGTCCATATGCTTGTCAACTGGAAACAATGGAAAAAGATTACCATTAGTACAGATATTTATCCATAACCATCACTGTGGGTTTATTATACAGCCTATGAACTACATGAGGTGGGATTGGTCTGCAGTAGGGATGTGTATTTTTGACTGAATTTATTGTAGGAATATTCAATAAACAGTCCAAACTGATACTTAACATGTTTAACATGGGTTATCTGAACCATAATAGCGAGATTTAAATTTCAATGGTGGAAACAAAACCCAATGCACACTGCTGCCAACTAGCGGTCGACATTTAAAGTGCACCAAAAAAAAAAAGAAAATACACAAATGTTTGCATGCAAATTCTTCCAAAAATTAGATACACTGCTTTTGAAAATGGATGTAATATCTCAGGAAAAAATATCACGATATATAGCCATATCGATATTTTAGAGACACAGTTTGAGAATATCGATACAATATCACTGGGAAAATATATCGCGATATATTGTCATATTGATATTTTCTTACATCCCTTGTCTGCAGTGTACTTTGTGTACACTATGGTGTGTCTTAGCTCACCAGATGCAGTTGATGGATGTGGCCGTGTAGCACTTCCATTGTAAAGCAATGCAGTAGTTTTCAATCTAAAAAGAAAGAAAAGAATAAATAATAAAAAAAAGCTTTTAGACAAAAACATAGATTTTATGTAAAAATTAATTAAAAGCATGTATTTAACTCATTATTGATTATCTGTCCTGGTTAACATTCTTTTGATGGAGAATACAGAACACGTGACAGAAAGCACATTGAATCTGATTTGTCCTGTTCTGACAAAAAATGTCAGATCTGTATACTGGAAAGTAGAGCTGAAACAACTAATCGATTTAATCGATTATAATCGATTATTAAAATAGTTAACAACTTTTTTAGTCATCGATTAGTTGTTTAATAATCATATTTTAACGCATAAAGTCTATTTTTTTACCACAATCTGACATCGGTTACAATCTGTTAAATTTGCCGCCAGTGTGTGGCAGTAACAGGCCACTGACCTACCAGTGGAGCCGTAGAAGAAGAAACGAGCCAATAAGTGCCCTCGGTTTTCACGACGTAACACGTTACTGACGCGCATCTTGCTGTGAGAGATGGCAGAACAAGAAGAAATACGGAAGAAAAATAGAAGCGACAAAACTGAAGAGAAACCCCGGACAAAAACCTCACGAGTATGGGAGCACTTCACTCTAGATGCCATGAAAAGACGGTTAACCTGCAAAATATGCAAAAACCATCTAGCATGGCATGGAAGCACGACGTCTCTAAGTGAACATTTGACACGAAAACATGTGGGGGCTGATGCAGCAGAGGAAAGTCCGGTAAATCCGGTAAGTAACAGAAAATAAACAAGCTAACGCAGATCAAATTTGGGAGCTGAGTTCATTATAGTGGATGTTAAACATGTTTTTTTGCCGCGTCAGTCTACGGTGTTCTACTTCTGATTGACTAAATGCAATCGTGAATCTCCTCCGTGTTGTGTATCATGCGCTTGCCAAATTTAGCATGTGTGTTTATAAGAATGTTCTCGTTAAGAGAAAAACGGCACAAACCCATAACTGTCCCTCATTCAAAAAAGGACAACTCCGCAGAGAAAAATATACAGACGAGCTGTGTCCAGGTGAATATAACGCGGCAGAGTTGTACGCTTTCAATTTTTAAATACAGGAGAAATTCAGAAAGTCATTTTTTTTACTATTAAAAGGCTGTTTTACTGTCTAACGCTGTAAAACGCCTCACATCTAACGCTGTAAAACGCCTCACAACACATTTTTGTCAAAATAAATTATCACTGTATATTGTTAATTAATAAATAATAATAATAAATAATGTAATATTGATTTAGTGTTGTAGTGTGTGTGCTGCTTTATTTTATATGTGTACTTATTTCAGTCTATTTGTGTTTCTTATGCAGAAAAAAACAAGCAACGACGGACAACTACATGGGGAACAAGACACTCATCCCCCAGCAATGCATACCACTTACAAACTCTATTCTAGATTCTACATTATTTTTTATGGAATTTACCTCTTATATTTTGATGCCAAAAAATTATTCTGGACTGATATTTTGTACTGTTTAGCTCATTTTACACCGCTGATTGTGTTCATGTGCAATAAAATAGATTGCAGTCAACTGCACAATTCTCTTATGTTTTTCTTTTTCTAAACTGAAATGTATTCATCACTTGTATAGGTTAAATAGCTAAACAATAACAAACCGATTAATCGAAAAAATAATCGACAGATTAATCGATTATGAAAATAATCATTAGTTGCAGCCCTACTGGAAAGAAATTTATTATCAAACATACTCACTTAGATAATTATTCAGTCAGAGTTACATCATATAATCCATTCGTTTCACTGAAAAAGGAGCTGGTAGAACTATGAACTTGTTTAGCCTGTCCAAGTAACATGGAATAAAAAATACATGTATCTGTATGTAAATTTAGTTTAAATGTCTTCCCACAATAGCTCATGTAGATTCTGTCTGAGTTATACCATAAAAATCCTGCAGTTCCACTAAAAGAGTATTTATCTGCAAAACAGCCTGTTAGCTCAGCTTTCCGCTGCTTCCTCTGTAGCAAGTTAGCAGTACACAGGTTACCTCCAGTAGCTGCAAAGTCTCTGATGTTCCATAGGTTCCTGAAAAATTAGCAAACTTATTAACATAAACTGCAATAATTAATTCCATGAAACCAGTGATGAATATGTTAAGATGAATTTTTAATACGTCTCTCTGGAACAATAGACCATTGTCCTGAGGCTAGCACAATGACTTGCTTAGCAGCTAGCTAGTGAGCTAACGTCTGGTTAAAACCAACTTAAAAAGTGGCTTAACTTACAGATTAACTAAGAAAAGATAAAATATATTATCAATACTCACTTTAGATCCTCAGTAGACACCACAGACAGCAGAAATAATGTGTTTGGGGCTCAAAATTCATGTTGTTGACCAGGTGGGAAAAATGTCTTGGAGGCTACATCACTTCCGGGTCACTGAACTGTCACTCAAGAGAAACAACTGTCCTGTGGGAGAGGACTTCTCGGAAGTCCCACCCACCCGAAAGGGTTGTGTCAGAATTGCAACCAAAAACTCAGGGATTGCAAAGGAGAAAGCCAGAAAGTGTAAGTGCAAATCTGGTAGTGAGAGCAAAGCTCTTAGCAGCGAGAACGAAACTAAGGAAACCGATAACAAAAACACAGGGGCAAACAGAAAAAGGAAACATACTTTGTTACTACGTGTGAGTGCGTTTTTGATCTCTAGTTTGTTTCCTGTGTTCTTACTGAGGCCCTGTCCACACGTAGCTGGGGATCTGCCAAAACGTAGATATTTTTCTACGTTTTGGCCTGTCATCCACACGAAAACTGAGTTTTTTCACACGAAAATGGATCTTTTTAAAAACTCCGGCCAAAGTGAATATCTGCGTTTTCTCTGTTTTGAGTGTCTGCGTGTGGACAGACAAAATCGGAGTTTTAAGGTCCGCAACGTCACTTTCCGCGACAAAAAATGCTGACATCACGTGTGCGACCTGTGGTTACACTAGCCGACAGCATGGATGCCCTCAGAGCTGCGCTCGCTTTATCAATTGTCCAAGCGCTTTGTGCTTGTTTGTTTTTGCAAGCGGAATTACTGCTCCTTGCGGAAGACGACAGACGAAGGACGAGGTTAAGAACGGGGGAAGTACTGCCGCCTACAGGTCTGGCATGGCCTTAACAACGTAGTTATCCGGGTACGTGTGGACAGAGTTTGTTTTAAAACGCGGTGGTGTGGATGCAAATTTTTGGAGGGGCGGATATTCGTTTTTAAAAAAACCCGGCTACGTGTGGACTAGGCCTTAGATTAGTTTTCCGCTCTTTGGTGTTTTATGTTCCTTTCCCCAGTCTCTCCTGCAGCTCTCACTCCCCACACACCTGCTACCAGTTTCCCTGATTGCTTCCCTCTGTGTATAAAGCCCTGTCTTGTCTCAGTGTTTGTTGGCCCATCGTCAGCATTACTTGTGCCTCCTGTGCTCTTGTGTTGACTCAGTGCGTTTTTGATCTCTAGTTTGTTTCCTGTGTTCTTACGGAGTCATTTTGGATTTTGCCCTTTTTCGACCTGCTCAGCTCCTCCTGAAATAAAAGATTCTGATTTTTGCAATCACTCCTTGCTGTGTTGTTCTGGGTTCCTGCTCATTGAGTCCAAACCTCCTACCAACCCTGACAGTAGGATGTCCAGTGAGTTGGAACATTTTTTGTAAAATCTCCTGACTTCTCAGTGGTGCCCAATGGGCTCAAACTCCAGTTTGGCAGCCCATTGATGCCTAAACATGCTAGATTTTTTTATTCAGCATCAGCTTTCAAAGAGGACAGAAAAAGCCCTTCGTGTGGGGCCCAAGGCAGACTTGGGGCAAAACAAGTCTGAGTTGCACTGTTTGATTCTGGGAAATTACTGCAGAGACCTTATGTGGTGTCCTCCCACAGCTGCAGTTTACTGAGGTGATGCTAGAGGACCCAACAGCCGCTGTTGCGACCGGCTTTTAGTCAGAAAACCATTTAGAATTTGATAAGCAAACAGTTTGCTCATTCAGGTGGGACAATAGGACATGATGTGTTTGTTCTCTTGTGGAGCAGGTGAGCTGCTAGTGTAGAAGAGAGAGGCATGGTTAAAGATCAGAGGTCATCAGGTTGATGAACGCAGGAACCATATGAGGTGCCTGCAAGCCTGCTCTAAAAATAGTACAACTTAACTCTCAACAAAGTCTAAAAGTATTTTTTAATCACCTTTGCATTGATATAGATTTGAAAACTACAATATTGATGAAGCATTAAAAGGTAGTTCAAAGGTCAACATAGTGCTTAAAACAAAACTTTGTGCATCAACCTGGTAACCCTTCATTCAGCTCAAAAACCATGAAGCAGAGTCACAAAGGGTGATGACCCCATCTCCAGATATTGCCAAAAACATATATGTGGTGTTGTATCTTGGCAACAACTGAACTGATGACATAACATGCACTCAGCAGCAGCTGATGGTGGGGTATATACTGCTACAGATGAAGCCCTTGTTAAATAACGATGTTGAACAGCTCACAGTTTAACATCTGGGCTGCAGAGACAATGTTCAACAGTAGCATGTCTGGGATTACGCCATCTGCTGTTGACAAGCACTGCTATCCCTCCTCCTTCGCTTTTGTCTCCCCTCTTCAAATCTGTCTTCTCCAAAGGTTCAACAGACTTCAGAGACCGGATATGATCCTGCAGCCATGTTTCAGCTAAACACAGAGTGTACAGGTCCTTCTGAAAAAATTTGCATATTGTGATTATTTTCTGTAATGTACTGAAACATTAGAGTTTCATATATATTAGATTCATTACACACAACTGAAGTAGTTCAAGCCTTTTGTTGTTTCTAATATTGATGATTTTGGCATACAGCTCATGAAAACCCAAAATTCCTATCTAAAAAAAAAAGCATATTTGGTCCGACCAAAAAGTGTTTTTAATACAAAAAAAGTCAACCATCAAATAATTATGTCTTGCATCTCTCAACTTTCTCTTCACAATATCCCTCAAATTCTCTATGGGGTTCAGGTCAGGAGAGTTGGCAGGCTAATTGAGCACAGTGATACCATGGTCAGTAAACCATTTACCAGTGGTGTTGGCACTGTGAGAAGGTGCCAGGTCGTGCTGACAAATGAAATCTTCATCTCCATAAAGCGTTTCAGCAGATGGAAGCATGAAGTGCTCCAAAATCTCTTGATGGCTAGCTGCATTGACCCTGCCCTTGATAAAACACAGTGGACCAACACCAGCAGCTGGCATAGCACCCCAGACCATCACTGACTGTGGGGACTTGACACTGGACTTCAGGCATTTTGGCATTTCCCTCTGCCCAGTCTTCCTCCACACTCTGGCACCTTGATTTCCTAATGACATGCAAAATTTTCTCTCATCCAAAAAAAAGTGCTTTGGACCACTGAGCAACAGTCCAGTGCTGCATCTCTGTGGCCCAGGTCAAGCGCTTCTGTCGCTGTTTCTGGTTCATAAGTGGCTTGACCTGGGGAATGCAGCACCTGTAGCCCATTTCCTGCACACACCTGTACACGATGGCTCTGGATGTTTCTACTCCAGACTCAGTCCACTGCTTCCGCAGGTCCCCCAAGGTCTGGAAACGGTCCTTCTCCGAAATCTTCCTCAGGGTCCGGTCACCTCTTCTCGTTGTGCAGCATTTTCTGCCACACTTTTTCCTTCCCACAGACTTCCCACTGAGGTGCCTTGATACAGCACTCTGGGAACAGCCTATTCATTCAGAAATTTCTTTCTGTGTCTTACCCTCTTGCTTGAGGGTGTCAATGATGGCCTTCTGGACAGCTGTCAGGTCGGCAGTCTTACCCAGTATTTCGGTTTTGAGTAATGAACCAGGCTGGGAGTTTCCGCTGCAGAATTTTATCTGTTGCTTGGTTATGATCAACAATATCACTTCATATACAACTACAAGTACAGTATTTTGTACAACTCAGATTCAAATACATACTTTTCATTGGCTTATTTACAAAACACTTTTTACATACATGTTTTCATGTCAGTGCAATGTCACTTTCTTCCAACAAACACCTTACAAAAGTTCTTTAAATTAAATCTGGTTTAGATAAACAGGAACTTAAATAAAAAGGCTACAATCACTGATGGGCAACTCAGTAGTGGGTGGGATGGGGGGTGTATGTATGCCCTGCATTTGTATTTGAATAGGATCAGTGTTTGCTCAACCTCAGCTTACAGCTGTTGGACAGAAAATATTTGTTCCTGCGACTTGTGCTGAATGAACCCCGATTTTCAACGGCTGGGTTTTGTTTTGGCTAGCATAGTCTACGCTACAAGTTGTCTGAAGAGACAACCCCAAGATAAAGAAAAAAAAAAACATTTATTGCACCTGTGCCTGAAGATATTAAAAAATGGGTAGACAGGACAAATCTTTCCCTTTGAGCGCAATGGACATAAAACTGACATCGTCTACAGCTAGGTGTGAAGGCAGGAAGGTGGCGGGAAACCAGCTGAACAAGCCAACATAACTGTACATTTCCATTTGTTTGACAAAAATACTCTTTGTAAAGAAAAATTAAATAAAATTGAAATAAACCTCTTTCTGAAAACATCCAGAATCATTTCTTCGCACATACACAGCAGAAAATGAAGCACGCTTTAGCGGAGGGAAAATCCCAGGATAGGAGAGCTGCTGACAACCCTCTGTGTGTTCAGTGAATACACCAAGCCATCACACATAAGTGGAAGAGCCAGCGATTACACCGAGCCATCGCCCATGAGACGCAGAGCCAGCGATTACACCGAGCCATCGCTCGTGTGACGCAGAGCCAGCGATTACACCGAGCCTTCACCCATGTGACGCAGAGCCAGCAATTACACTGAGCCATCGCCCATGAGACGCAGAGCCAGCGATTACACCGAGCCATCGCTCGTGTGACGCAGAGCCAGCGATTACACCGAGCCTTCACCCATGTGACGCAGAGCCAGCGATTACACCGAGCCATCGCCCATGAGACGCAGAGCCAGCGATTACACCGAGCCATCGCTCGTGTGACGCAGAGCCAGCGATTACACCGAGCCTTCACCCATGTGACGCAGAGCCAGCAATTACACTGAGCCATCGCTCATGTGACGCAGAGCCAGCGATTACACCGAGCCATCGCTCATGTGACGCAGAGCCAGCAATTACACCGAGCCATCGCTCATGTGACGCAGAGCCAGCGATTACACAGAGCCATCGCTCATGTGATGCAGAGCCAGCGATTACACAGAGCCATCACTCAGAACACAAATAAGCAAAATTTAGACATGACACAAAACTAGCATTTAGCTTCAGACATAAAAGGCGGGAAAACATAAAAGTGTAGGGAGGCTAGTACTATCAGAACACCTGCTAACAGGTAGGAGTGTGTGTGTGTGTGTGTGTGTGTGTGTTTCATGGGGTTGATAGATTACAACGGCACTTGCTTTTGACACTGGCTCTTCGTTAGTTAGGGCCATCCAGGAGCTTCATCACATTTTATTATGTGCTTTATTAGTTCAACCAAACCTGCTTCAGTGCCTCTTAAAACCAAGATTTTATGGTTCGCTAAAGTGATAAAATATTCAAAATAATAGCATTTAGCTTTGTTTTGCTAAGAGAACATCTCCTGTGGCATCTGAACTTTACAGATCGTGGTACAACGTGCCCTGGAGAAGACATGGACTTGTGCAACACTAACCAAAGAGGAGTGTGATGGATCCACGAGCCTGAAGCAGTCAGCGTGACTAACTAGAAGCTACTGAAGATTTCTTCTACCCACAGGATTAAACTCTGTGGAGTTTGCTCACATTTGGGCCAAACTGATGAACAGCTTGATGACACTTCCTGTTGATCCCTCCAACAGTAGAAATCCAGTTTCAAAAGGTGGTGTTCAGGATGTAATGGACTTACGTTTCTTCCACTGGGTGCTGTACAATCTGACTGGCTCCTTAAGTGAGTGACATCACTACATGAGGCTTCACGCTGTGCTGCACTGGTTTGGATTGACTGAATCATTTTAACCTCATATCTTAATTTACTAGACAACAGAATATTAAAATCTCGGATAAAACGACTAAATAAGTCGTGCTTCGTCTCCCCACACGTTCTTCTGGTTTGTTTTCAAACGCATAAAAAGCCGTTTTCTGAAGACGACCGGACCCCGCGGAGACCCGCTGAGGAGCAGATCTTGGTTCTGACCTGAGGAGAATCCTGCTCTGAGGGATTTTCTACAAAAATAAAACAAATCTTATAAAAGAAGACATCTGGGAAAAAAAAAAAAAACTTAAATATTTACTGAACTATATTTTTAAGTGCTCGTCTTTTGAAACATGGCACATTTCAACACACACGTCTACATCAGACACAGCAACACGCACGTTTGGCAGCTGGGGATCGAGCACAGCTGTGACATAAACACCTGGGGGGTGGTGAAATGTATGTACCTTGAAAGCATGGCAGATTAACACTGAGACGTAGGGTTATGACAGAGTATGATGAGGTAGCATGATGCTAACGCTAATGACACACTGTCACTAATAAAACTTTTAGAGGATCGTTCTTTAAAAAAAAACTTCTCACAGTATCCAAATGTTCTGGTTCACTAAACGTTGAAGGTGTCCTGTGGCACCAAACCACACTGGTTCTACCGGGCCCAACCACCTGAGCTGTATTTACACCTCAGGTGTTGGCGTCTGTCATCATTCTGACATCACAGGTGATAAATGCAGAGTAAAAACAGCAACATCACCTCATGATGTGGCCGTGACAATCAGTCATCCACTACACCTAACAGGGATGTGATGGTGAGCTACACAGGGGGGGGGGGGGGGGGGGGGGCTGCTTCCTTAGCTCAACAAAGTGCACCACCTTAGTGCCATGGGGGGGGGGGGGGGGGGGGGGGGGGGGTGTCACCACAGCCTGGACTAACCTGTTCACTATTCCATATTTGAGATCATTAATAAAAAGTGCTGTGACAGAGAGGACCGTCCTCCAGCAGCCATCAGATGAGTCCAAGGGGCCGGCTCCGCTCAGAGCGCCGTGTAGTGCTGACCAGTGGAAGACGAGCAGCGGTCACTGGAGGACACAGTACTTCTTATAGTCCGACTCAAAGTCTTCATCCATGCTACTGGTGTCAGCCATCTTCTTGCCGTCAATCTTTGGCAGGAACTGGGAGTAGTCGACTCCCTGCTGCTCGTAGAAGAGGATGTAGGCGGAGTCCGTGTCGATCTCTTCAGAATGCACTTCCTGTTGCGACAAAACGGCAAAAACAAGAGTAGCGTGGGTACTGGAGCACAAGCGTTACATCAGATGCAACTAACATCTGTGAGCGTGACTACTACTGCCCTGAGTTGTCATCTCGGTGGTGAACACCCAAGTTTGCATTTCAAGATGAACAGAAAACCAATCAGAGACATGAAACAAAAACATGAATAAAAGTGTTTCACATGAAGACACACCTGGGCTACACATCAAGGTGAGTGCTAACGGAGCAGCAGGCTGAATGCCCCTTTCCTCTAAATACATCCCACTACGTGCTTTAAAAGTCCGATGGTGATCGAAAACCCCTTGGTAGGGCTGGGCGATATGGCAAAAATAGAGTATCACGATATTTCCAATATTTTATCACGATTTCGATTTTATCACGATTTTTTATCCATGAATACCATAACTTCAATTGTGTATTAAAGAAGAGAAACATTGAATAAATAAACATTTATTCATATTAGGGATAATCAACACAGTGCTAACACACTTATATTTTAAACTCACACCAGAGATGATAAAAGCCCTGAGAGAAACAATTACAAAAATCAGTTTTTCTCGTTTTTCAAGTAATTGAACATAAATTAAAATCGTAAACATATTTAAAGTGCAAACATGTCAATTGCAAACGTATTGTGCAAATGTTAACTTGTTCAAAATACTATGTAGCTCCCAGTTGCTCATGTAGTGGATAGTTAAGCTCAAACAAGGCTCTGATGTGCGGCTGGACCAGAGATCGCTTGTGGTAGCAAATAACTGCACATTCTGAATATTTTCTGCAACGCTCACTTTGCATTCAGCGTACATGCGTGGAATGGCGGTGCTCGAAAAATACTTGCGGCCGGAAAACTCGTAGCGCGGATCCAATGTTTTTATCATTTTCTTAAATCCCGCTCCTACGAGTCCTACTGTTCGCACGGGACACAAATCTTATACCAAGTGGTACGTCACTGCATCTGTCACGCTGTTCCATCGTCTGCTGTCTCTGTCGTGGGGAGTGGGTTTCGTGTGTTTCTGTTAGCGTTTGCTGCCAGGAAGAAGCACTAGCCGCTGCAGCCGCAGGCTTTTTCGCTTTAGCTGCCAGCTGACTCTCATTGTATTGTTTGGGAAGCCTTCTTTTCAAGTGATTAAACAAGTTTGTGGTGTTGCCATCACTTACCTTGACGTTCTCCTTGCAAATGACGTTTCGCTGCTCTTTGTCATCTGGTGAAAAACCAAACCAGTTCCATATAATGGACGAGGCGTTCCTCTTCGGAACGAAAACCTCGCTGTCGCTATCAGCCGCGGCCGAAGCCATGTTTGTTCACACACAGGTGAAAACAAGCAGGGCACTAATGTATTACTATGACTCATTCTGATTGGTTAGGGGTCAAACAAAGGAGTGTCATTCGCCGGAGGTAAGTTCCCTTTTCATTCAGAGGCAGAATTTCAACAGCAGAGCTGTGAATCGTGATAGAAAGGTCTCTCAAAAATGACAGACCGTCAGATGTGTGGATCGTAAAACGGTCTAAAATCGTCATATCGCCCAGCCCTACCCCTTGGTCAGTGGCAGGTCCACAGGCGGAGGAGGAAAGCAGAGGGGTTACAGCACCAGACCCGATCAGAAGGATGGGACCAGCTTTGGACTCCAGAACAAAACACTTCCTACGAGTGTGGGTTTTCATCAAGGTCATAAATAAATCTGCACATGATGAAGTCTTTGAGCTAAAGCCGATTTTTGCTAACAGTGATTCGGTGAGATTGTTAACAGCATTTATCTGGACCTGAGTCACTAAACCAGTTGATCAGGTCATCTCAGCTGTGAACCTCCCCAGCAGGAGCTGAAGGTTTCGGTTCATACAGCTAAGAGGACGTAAAAGAGAACACCCCAGCGCTGTCCCTCACCTTACAGCTGCTGTCGTTGTAACAATACCACTTGTCGTTGGGGTTTTTGGCATACGTCACATAGTGGCCCCCTCCCATGATTCCTGAATGGCACTGTAGGATGAAGCAGAGAATCAGTGAGGCGTGTTGGGACTCCCTCATCGCTCAGCAGCTGTGAGAGGACTTACTGAGATTGCATAGAGGTTGTAGATGGCGTCCAGAGACATGTTGTCCCTGTGCTGTGGCAGCGACCCATCAGCGTCGGCGCTGCTCTCTATGCTGCAGTCTGAGCCCATTTCGTTACTGTCTCCGTTCATCAGGACGACGTCACACTGGCTGCTGGATGCTTCGGTGCCGCAGGATGACTCTGACGCCAACTGCTCTGTCGACCCGGTAAGACCCGCACCTGCTGCCTCCACGTCTGCCAGTGGCCCACTTTCCCTGGACTCCGATTGAGAATTAGCAGCTCCCTCCAGGTTCTCCTTGCTGTTGGAGAGCCGATGTTTGCTACCAAGCTGAGGCAGACGTAACCGGCCCGGTCTGCGGCCACCTGTCTTTGGGCTGCCGGAGGGGCTGCTGGTCCGGCTGAGAGAAGGTGCTGATCTCCTGCTGGAGGCAGGCGACACTGAGGAGGAACCAAAGGGTTACAGCCGGGTTCACTATGCCTCTTCTATATAAAAAGTAGGTTTCACATTCACACAACAGAACCATTTGCTTTAAGACAGCAGTGGTACCTTTGGGTAAGTTGCAGAAGCCAGCTGGAGCAGAGATGGAGGACAGGTTGTCCTCCCCGACTCTCAGCAGGTCTTCGCTCTCACTGCAGGAGTGGAGGGAGTGATGATCCCGGTCTCTGGGAGCCAGGAAGGCGCTTGGGTCAAAATTCTCCCGCGGGAACTTGACAATCTTCTGAGACTTGATCCAGCGACCGTTAACGAACTGGAAGCGCTTCAGGTGGACAATCTGGAGAACACAAGTTCTACTGTTAGGTAGAACCTAAACACAACACTGAGTAGAGGTCAGATATGAATGTTGTGGAAGAACATGTTTCCTTTGAACATAACGAGGCTGTGTGTACTGGAGAGCTCCATCGGGTGAACTCGGGTGTGATGAATAGGAACCAGTTGGTTTATATTGTGATTTATAAACACTATAAATCCAGTTTGAGCTGGACTCTAAACTGGTTCCTCTAAAATCTGAAGCTGTAGACCAGTAGCCCACTGACCAGGATGGGCGGGAGCCTCCAGAGGTCCAGCTTCTTGGTGGCCAGCCGATGGGTCTTACACTTGGAGCAGTAGTAGAGCTCGTCCTCCCCCAGCTCCTCTTCGCTGGTGAAGGCTTTCAGACAGCTGTCCAAGCTGATGGGCTCAGCCTGAGCTCGACGAGACTGCTCCACACTGCAGTGCTCCTCCACAATCTGCAGGGAGACCACAGAGGGAGTTAGTCTGGGGTTCCTTGAATACTTGGGACAGACACCAGTAGCTTCACAGGTAGTTTCATACAGATTGCAACGTAGACAAGGCCATGTATTTGTCCACGGCCTGCTTCATCAGTGCCACCCATGACTCCAGGAGGAGGAAATAACGAAATGTCTCCTGATTCATCTGTATCCTTATCAACTCCAAGGTCGCCTCACAAGACATCTCTACAGGAGACGAGACTTTCCTCTAAATCCCTTTTAATAAAAATATCTTACTCTGGCTCATAAAATGATTTATTTACTTTACAGGTTAATAACAATTACATTAAACAATGAATGTTTTATTTGAAGTGTTTTAATAATGTCTTCACTGCTTCACCATAACGAATGAATCAACGCAAATGTTTATCATTTCATTCCTTATTTCAGATCTTAAATACACCAAATGGTTCTACTTGTCGGATTCAACAATGACTTCTTGACAGTATATTTACATATTAACATTACTATATTAAAGGGACTTTACGGAGTTTTGAATTTTTATGCTCGCGATTGCCCCCTCAGGCCAAAAGCGTAACGGCAGCTTCAATAGTAGGCTCGTGCACGAGGCGCACATGCCGTACGTGCACACTCCTTAACAAAAGTAACAGCTGAGACAGTCCCGTGTGTGTGTGTGCGCGTGTGTGCGTGTGTGTGTGTGTGTGTGTGTGTGTGTGTGTGTGTGTGTGTGTGTGTGTGTGTGTGTGTGTGTGTGTGTGTGTGTGTGTGGCCCGGAGGACAGAGGACAGGAGAACACACAGCTAATTAATTAAATAATTTGGTTCTGTACCTTTCTCTTCAGCACAGCTGACAAAGGTTTAAGATGGGTCAGTCCTCCTGCATGCTCAGATAATTCCCTTCCCTTGCTTGAAAAATTGTTCCAAAATGAAAGTTGAACCCACATCTTTTTTATCTGTGAATTCAATACCTTTCGGCGAGTCTCAAATAAAAATTTGGGCACCTTACTGTAAAAAAATATACCATTAATGTAAAACAGTAACTCTAAATAAACTATGTTCACATCCGGAATCGAACCCGGGTCTCCTGCACGAGAGTCCGACATCTTACCAGGTGAGCTTAGCGCCAGTGACGTCTATTGTATCTGTAAATTTTATATCCTTGATGACAGCTGAAACAACGTTCAAAGAATGGTTCGGAGTGAAAATGGCTATTTTGTTGCTAATTTGCAGGAAACATCTAGAAGAAAGTAGCTAAGGGTCCTCAGAAATGTAGCTAGATTCATCACTAGGCGTTAGGAACAGCGACAAAGTGGAACTGCCTCTCTCTCTGCTGCTAAAGCTACTGATAGCAAATACTACGGGCGATGCTTGAGCGTGAACGCACATGAAGCAGCCTGCTCAACCCGAGCAACTCTCTTTTTCTGTGGTTTTACAGAAAAATAGGCAATCACAGTAAAAATGCCAGGGCTCATTCTACAGGACCAGGGCATTGCAGGAGAATGTATGAAGAAGAAATTTATTATTTCTACACGTTTTGGCTGTCAAACTTCCATAATGCCCCTTTAATAAATGACTGTATTTACTTCATATTAAATGAAATAGTCCTGCTCCAAGTGTTTAAGGAAGGAGTGATGTCTAAGGATATTGTTAGATTCTAATTTGTTTAAATCTATAAACAACATTTAATAAAAGAGGTAACACTTCCTCTAAAATTCAGTTCCAGCAAGCTGTACCAGTTCGACTAAACTGGGTCAGTAGCATTTGAGCCATCCTGTCCAAGGTCAGACTCTCTTTGCAAAACTGCAAAAATCCACCAGAGAAACAACTCCGACGTGAAACGTCTCACCAGCAGACCCTGAGGCCATCTCTGGCCAGCTGATGCAGATTCAGAGAAATACAGCCTTTGACATCCACAAGTTAAACTACTCGCTTGCCGAGAAGACGTTGGGCCAGCAGGATCGCTGAGAACCCTCTTCACACTGATCACATCACATACAGGGAGTGCAGAATTATTAGGCAATTGAGTATTTTGTCCACATCATCCTCTTCATGCATGTTGTCTTACTCCAAGCTGTATAGGCTCGAAAGCCTACTACCAATTAAGCATATTAGGTGATGTGCATCTCTGTAATGAGAAGGGGTGTGGTCTAATGACATCAACACCCTATATCAGGTGTGCATAATTATTAGGCAACTTCCTTTCCTTTGAGAAAATGGGTCAAAAGAAGGACTTGACAGGCTCAGAAAAGTCAAGCGTGCAGCTGCCAAGATGCCACTTGCCACCAGTTTGGCCATATTTCAGAGCTGCAACATCACTGGAGTGCCCAAAAGCACAAGGTGTGCAATACTCAGAGACATGGCCAAGGTAAGAAAGGCTGAAAGACGACCACCACTGAACAAGACACACAAGCTGAAACGTCAAGTCTGGGCCAAGAAATATCTCAAGACTGATTTTTCTAAGGTTTTATGGACTGATGAAATGAGAGTGAGTCTCGATGGGCCAGATGGATGGGCCCGTGGCTGGATTGGTAAAGGGCAGAGAGCTCCAGTCCGACTCAGACGCCAGCAAGGTGGAGGTGGAGTACTGGTTTGGGCTGGTATCATCAAAGATGAGCTTGTGGGGCCTTTTCGGGTTGAGGATGGAGTCAAGCTCAACTCCCAGTCCTACTGCCAGTTTCTGGAAGACACCTTCTTCAAGCAGTGGTACAGGAAGAAGTCTGCATCTTCAAGAAAAACATGATTTTCATGCAGGACAATGCTCCATCACACGCATCCAAGTACTCCACAGCGTGGCTGGCAAGAAAGGGTATAAAAGAAGAAAAACTAATGACATGGCCTCCTTGTTCACCTGATCTGAACCCCCATTGAGAACCTGTGGTCCATCATCAAATGTGAGATTTACAAGGAGGGAAAACAGTACACCTCTGAACAGTGTCTGGGAGGCTGTGGTTGCTGCAGCACGCAATGTTGATGGTGAACAGATCAAAACACTGACAGAATCCATGGATGGCAGGCTTTTGAGTGTCCTTGCAAAGAAAGGTGGCTATATTGGTCGCTGATTTGTTTTTGAATGTCAGAAATGTATATTTGGGAATGTGGAGATGTTATATTGGTTTCACTGGTAAAAATAAATAATTGAAATGGGTATATATTTGTTTTTTGTTAAGTTGCCTAATAATTATGCACAGTAATAGTCACCTGCACACACATATATCCCCCTAAAATAGCTAAAACTACAAACAAACTAAAAACTACTTCCAAAAACATTCAGCTTTGATATTAATGAGTTGTTTGGGTTCATTGAGAACATGGTTGTTGTTCAGTAATAAAATTATTCCTCAAAAATACAACTTGCCTAATAATTCTGCACTCCCTGTATTATATTGATTTTTATATACTACACTTGCGTCTCTGTCAAATTATTGTAAAGTGTTGGTTCCCTGGCATACCCAAACTACCTAGTTTCATCAATCAAATATTAAATGTTCAATCCTATTGATAATCCATAATTTTATGGAATATTACATTTTAATGAATACCTTTATATTTAATCGACAATTTATTAAAAGTAACCACTTACAAAACCTTACAAGGTAAACCTCTGTAACCACCCAGGAATGCAGGTCTATTGATGTCTAGTTGTTGTTATCACTTGTTAGTCGCTTTGGACAAAAGTGTCTGCTAAATACATAAACATAAACATAAATATTACTGATGTACTTATTCCTGATTTAGGCCCTTTGACTTTAAATAATAGAAGCAATAATTCATTATAACTATTATGGTCCTGATGTTGGTATAGCCTGTAAATATTTGTCTGTGGGCCTACTTTAACTTCCTATGAGTGCTGGCTTTTATCTGGTGTGTGTTTTACCCTCTCCTGGGAGGTTTGGTAGCGGAGGTGCAGGGCGGTGGGGTCCCAGTCCACAGCTATGTAAGCATTCCCAACAGATGCTCGGTCGTCTGTACAGTCTATGGTGCAGCCTCTGCAGAACCTGGAAACAAACATCCATCCATCCATCAGTCTGGGTGCAGGGCTTAAACAGCGTTGGGAGTAACGAGTTATAAAACTAATTAGTTACTGTAATAAATTGCTTTTTGCTGTAACGTGGTAATGTAAAGCATTACTGGAAAAAAATATGGTAATATCTTACTCTGTACAAATGTTAGAAACGTGTGTTACAACGCATTTTAACCTGGAATCAAGTGGTGGGGTTTCTGTAGGGTTCCAATTCAAAGGAAGCTAAAATAAATAAATAAAATAAAATAAAAAAAAAACATCCAGTCTCCACCTATATTTCCTTATTTCTATGGACTCTCAGCGCACCGGGACTAATGAGATCAGAGAGCATTGATGAGCCATGGGCTCCCGGCTGCCTCCTGCGCACGCCGCGACCACGGTTACATACTCAGTCACACCACCAAAAGAATAAATAAATAAATAAACAAGCAATCGTTCATGTCCACTCATATTCTCTGGTACGTTCTTTTTTGTCTGACACACTTTGCCTCAGTGGAGCTCAGTTATCTGCGCCCTGGTGATTTCACCTCACTGCTGCGGGCACGCTACTTTTGCAGTGGGTAGATCCCTGAACTGCTCAGTTCAAAAGTTGCTCTTGATTGGGAAAAAGTAGGAGATCCAGAAGGCAATTTTACAGGAGAATTGAATGGAGATGCGGGAAGAGAAGAGACAGACATAACAGGAAAACGGTGAAATAAAAAAACGAGGGCTTGAAAAGGAAAAAGTAGGTAGATTTATCCCACAACACATTTTTAACACAAAGCAATCATTTATAAACATGTAATATTAAAATATTTGAAACAATTCAGATCACTCAGTCCCACATACAGGGCCGTATCCAAGCATTTGGGGACCAAGGAAAAATGGGCATGAACACACATACAAACACACCAGCTCCCCACACGCCCAGCGTGCCAAGTGTACAGTGTGTCGTTGCATTTATTTAATAAAAAATCATTTTCTGGGGTCCTGGCCAGCTTTGGGCACTTCCATGCCCAGGGGCAATTATAACCTGGGCCTGATGAAGGTGGCCTGCAGAGTAAAATGTTTTGCTCCTGCTATGTCTGTCTAGATTTGCAACGCTACACCAGATCAGCAGAAGAGAAATGTCTACGCAAAATGTTTCACTTCCTGTAGTTAGAGCAGAGATGAGTGAACCTGCAGCTGATCTAACATTCTCCAGATGGCTACGCACCTGTTACGTTTGTGAAAAGTAGTAATATAAAGAACACTGTGGTCAAGTGCTCTTGGAGAACAGTTATTAGATCCGACTGTTTTTAACCACTGCCCTAGCTCAGTCTATTACCACATCGCCTCCTACTGGATGTGCAATGAGCTGCATCATGAACTACATTTAAACTGCCAAATCCATCTTTGCAGGTATTTTAGTCTGAGTAATTCAAAAGTAATGTAATGCCTTACATTTTAAAATCAGCAATATTGTAATGTAACAATTTACTTTAAAACGAGAGTAACAAGGAATAAATAATGCATTACAGTTTTGAAGTAACTTGCCCAACACTGGGCTTAACCAGAAGAATCTACTGGGATACTCCATCTGACTACCGAACAGTTTCTCCACACTTCTGCTTCTTACCGGTACCAGGGGCACCAGGCGCAGGAGTTCCCATCCTTCCCAACGACTCGTAAGGTGAAAGGGTACTGGTAGCCCATGCTGTCGTCACTGTGGGTGAACACAAGAACCACATCAGTGTCTCACAGGTCCCCCGCTGGGAGGACATGAAGTGTTGAGCTAAACAAAATAAATACAACTTCCTCCGATGCTTCTAGTTGTTTACAGGAGCGGATTTGTTTATTTTCTGAAACTGAGGCCTGAGATGGTAATGTGAACTGGACCAATGAGAAGAGTCTGGTACCAGTCCTGGGCGTGGTTGCTGGCCTCCTGCGGGGGCAGCGGGCTGGCGAGGCGAGACACTTGGATCCAGACGGCGTCGTACAAATCCTTCTTACTGGTGTGGACGGTACAGGGAACAATGAGCGGCATTCCAAACAAACTGGGTCGGTTCTTCTGAGACGACAGGAAGTACAGCTCTGTGCGCATCTGAAAGGGTGTACATAAGCACGTACAACGTGTCAAGTGAAAGGAGAGACTCATGTTTGTGTGAAAACCATCACTGAGGGCGCATGGGTAGAAAGAGCTCCTCTGACTTCTCACCATCTTCCTGTGCATGGCGATGATGTATCCAATAAAGGGGCTCTCCTGCACAGGTGTGATGTGTCCGTTAGCAACCCCGTTCATCAGAGGGGAGTCTGACCTGGAGGACACCATGGTGACAGGTCCTCCGTTGGGGATAAGGATGGAGTTATTGGCCAGATGCCCGTTAGCAGCAGAACCATTGGCTGTTGGGGTGATGTCTGATGAAGCAAAGGAGACATTTTTAAAAGGACAAGAAAAAAAAAAAGCAGCAGTTTGTCTTCATACCGAGCTGCTCTGAGGGGACGGGCTCACCTGTCAGCGTGGGCGAGCTCAAAGACGTTGGTGAACCCGGTACCGGAACTTCAAAGGCACACAGGAAGCCGTTGACTGACAGGCGAACCTTCTGGTTGTCCTGAGGAAAGTTCTGAAACGTATCAGACAACATCAGTTCTGCTGCCTTCCTTCTGCTTCAGTCTCACACTGATGGATTTTTATTTGTTTGTTTGTTTGTGGTGAAGGCAAGAAATGTGATTTATTTCCTCTCAAAGCGAGGAGAAAAGAAGACTAGAGGGGGCATGTTGGAAGCATGTTGTACCCTGATGTTGGAGGCATGGACCTCAGCCAGCAGGATCTGCTCAGGCTTCAGGATGCACAGCTCACTCAGCTGTTTCTTCAGCCCAGTGTACTTCTCATCCATGTTCAGCCTCAGCCCGTAGCGCACCGGCGTGGAGCCGTCCAGTTTAATGACTGCAACACAACACAACCTTCTGTTTTTGCTCCCTAAAAAGGTTTCAGGTAAAGATGCTCTCCTCCAGCTTGCTCACCAGTGATCTCCAGATGCATGGAGCTGTCCATGGGCAGGGGTAGAGACAAGAAGTTGAAGGGGTCAAAGCGAGCGCTGATGTGACCGCAGGTCTTACACTTCACCTGGGACTTAAGCTGACCGTGAAACAGATCCACCACAATGGAGCGGTTCCTGCGCAGGTGGTTCTCCCACGCCTGCAGACAAGAACGTGAGACTCTGATCTGAATCAAGATAGGCAGGTGGATGGAACCTGGAATAGTCATTTTTGTCATCAGTGTGAACTCTGACCTCAGATGCCACTTCCCAGTCTGGCCGACCATCGCTGTCCTTCAGCTCCACATAAGGCTTCTCATGGACTCTGTTCAGGTCTTCATGGAGTCCATCCAGGAGGAAGGCCAGGAGTTCCTGAGAGTCCTGCTGCTGGAAGCCATTGAAGCGTGGGGCGTACTTTGCTATCGTCCACTGAAGAAGAAGCAATGAGTGATTTGAAGCTAAGAGACAGCAGCTAAACGCCAACAGGAGAAGCAGGTCCAGTTTCTCTAAGACAGAATCCATCTGAAGAGTTCTGGAGGGAAGCTACTCACCCGGAGTTTGAGTGGAGCCACGTTCTTCTGCGTGCCGCTCCACAGCTCCAACACCAGGTCACCGTAGCACTTGGCCATGTGACCTCTCATCCCGATGGGGTTAGTTCTGTCAACAACACAAACCGGGTCAAGCCGGAGTAAAAGATCCAGAACCACGGAGGAGAGACGTATTGCCAGGCTGGATTCATAAAGAGTACCTGTTGAGCTCGTAGAGGTGTTTCCCTGAGAGGAAGTAGTCTGAGAGAGGCTTGGTGTTGCTCACACACTGGATGCTGGAGTTCATGAAGCAGGTGTTGCCAAGGTTACTGAGGCCAGTGGCTCCTTTCTCCGTAGGAACTAAAAACAAACAAAAGATCATGCTTGTCACACGAAACACAAAAGGCTTCAGCTATAAACATCAGAATGTGTTCATGAGAACTGGAGGGCATCCTAGCTTATCCTGGTTCATCCCTTTGGTTATGCTGCTATAGGGTTAGACTGTAGGACGACGTACCTGGTTAGGGTTGGCTTTCGTCCTGTTTAAAGGGAGTTGCTCAGGAATGTGGATTATATTGATGTCCAATCTGCTGATTCCTTTATTTTGGAGCTCTTAGACTAAGTTTTACTTGATAATGATTCTGATTTTATTACAGCCTAACTGTGCTTAACAGCTGGTTTGAATCAGGACTCTATATGATTTATATCTGTTATTTTGAATTGCTATTAGAGCCGATTTGTGTCATGAACTGCTCCTTTATAGATGAACTGAATTAAATCCAGCCAGCCTCCGAGTGGTTAGCCCACAGGTACCTGTAGAGCTAACTTCAGAGCTAAGTGAACAAATCGTGTCAGAAAAAGGAAATTGTGGTCAGTTGTAACAAATGCTGACTAGTTATTATTGAACATGAGCATGAGGGGTCAAACGGGCTCGTTTTGTGTACAAACAGAAAATGTGAAGAGAGACCCGGTCAGTCTGACCCAGAACCAAAACCAAAATGTTCATCTGCTCTTTAAGACTCTGGATAAGCAGGCTTTCTGATTCCTTCGTACATCAGTGAGTTTGTGATGGCTGACCCAGCTGACCATGTGACCAGAGGAAGAACCACCGGCTTACCTTTGTGCCGGTCCATTTTACTGCTGTTAGCGATGAAAGACATTTCCTCAGGCCAGCTCATGTCTTTGTTTCTCACTGTGGAGGAGGAGGGACAGACTTCATCGTGTTTTCTCCTCATTATTCAAAAACCCATTTTACACTGGTTCTACTGGTACCAGTGACAGAACCATGGGTCAGGGAAATTAACATTCAGGCTGATTTCCTTACCCTCAATAACCAGCTGCTGCTCATCGTAGATCTTCAGGCTTTCCAGTGTGTGGTCTTCATCATCCAGAAGGGTGAGGTTGTTCTACAGAACCAGGAAGTGGAGACCGTAAGAATTTTACTAGAACATCTGAGGGTTTCACACAGCTGAGCTCTCTACAAGAGTCTGGTCTAACACAACCCAAACCTTCCGCTGGTTCTGATGGGCCTTTGTTAACTCAGGCCTTCAGCTTTACTCTCAGCATCGTTCACTAAAAAGTGTTTTCCACGTTATCGGATACCTTTTCTGGTTTTAGACTCGGACCAGGACCATTTAGACCAACAGGTGGGATTTTTAGGAGTATATAAATACTTGAGGGGAAAACCAGTGTTCCCAGTTGGGCCCAGAGAGGAACGATTCTGTAAACCAGTGAGCTGTCTGCTGCTGTCGGGTGGACTCGGAACAAAATGACAGCTAAATGATATATTTGTAATCATTCTGTCCTGAGAATCCGCACACTTCAGTCTGCGATGTAGGAGTTTATTGGTCAAGCTTTTCGGTCAGAGACCTTCATCAGGAATTGTCTCTGACCGAAAGCTTGACCAGTAAACTCCTTCGCAGACTGAAGTGTGCGGATTCTCATTTTGTTTATTCCACTTTTTGATCCAGCACCTTTTCCCAGATGAGCGGTGACTCCTAATCATTCTGTCCTAAAAATCCCTTTTATACAATCAAGAAATGATCATTTATTAAAGAGCAAGTTGCCCCCTAACAGACTCTTACTCCACTCCCACCTCCTTTTAGAAAAATGCAACAAATGTGGTTGCCTGGCAGACCAATACACACACAAAAAGGCTCACAACGACATTGTGACATCATAATGTACCCGCTAACGTCTTGGTGTACCTCTTAGCAAATAGAAATGGCAGATTTAAATTCAAATGCAGTGCAGAGATTTACCTGAAGGGGGCGCAACACTGACAGTTTTAGGCAGAATTTTTAAATTTGAACTAAGATGCACTAAAGTGCAAAATTATTGACTACATGTGTCTTCAGCACGATTAGACACTCGTTTATATAGTTTATCAGCAAAAAAAGTTGATTTGTGGATGACTTGCTCTTTAAATATTCTCAGATGTTCTGAAACTTTAATGAATTCAGTCTTAGTTTAACAGTTTAACTAATCATAAAATGAGGCGGCCATGGCTGAATGGGGAGAGCAGTGATTCCATCACCCGAAGGTCATAGAGCGATCCCCAGTCCCAGCAGACCACATGCCTGTGTCCTTGGGCAAGATGCTGAACCCCAAAGTTGCCCCCAGGGCGTTTTACAGTTTGCAGTCCACGGTTGCTTATTAATGTATGGGGGGGGGGGTCAAATGCAGAGTAAAAATTTCCCAAAGGGATCAAAAAGTATACACAAAATAAAGTTCAAGTCTAGTTAAAAATGGTTCCTGTTTTATTTTGATTCTGACGGTTCAGGAAGGAACCAGTATAGTTCATCATTGTTATCCTGCTGTAGTCTGACTGCAGCTCAGAGGCGAAAGCAGCAAAGAAAAAGTTTATTTTGATAGTGAGAACCAGGAGGGTTATAAAAAAAAAACTCACACAAAGTGCTGATTAAACTAGATCCGACTTCAGATCAGAGTCGGAGGCTTCAGTCTGTCTTAATAGTTACAATAATCCCATTTAAACATGGTCTCTGTTTCCATGGCAACGAGATGACACTGCTACTGTGGTGATGAGTTCCGCCTCTGCTGCCATGGTGATCTAGCCTGGGAAGAACTTCCCTGGCCCAGACTCGCAGCTGAACCAGCTGATTACTTCCAGTCTGTTAGGAAACCCTCAGGGCCGTTTAAACTAACACGGGCTGTAATCGTTACAAACAGAAGAACGTTTAAAAGAAAGTCAAATAAAACATAAATGAGTTAAATACAGGCTGGACTCCCAGCTACTCCTGCCTTCAGCTGCAGATGAAACCAGACTACACATGCTCTCTCTGCCATCACTCCTGATTCATAGAACTAGTTGCCTAGTTACAAATAAAGCATTAGCTTACACTTTGATGTAAAAACAAAGGTACTTTATAAGACATAAAGTGCTGAAGCTACCAGGTATTTATAATAATAATCATTAATAACTAACAATTTTATTCCTCTCTGTCTCTTTGTTATAACAAGAACTAACTCGATGATTTTAGTCCAATCTGCATGGGGCAGAAGGGTCGAAGGGCCTCGTGGGACTCCAGAACCACAGGTTGCAGAGCCCTGGCCCAACATGTGGTAAATGAGATTACTGAGGTGTGCTTTACTCTCACCTCGCTGTTGTAGAGCCAGAGCCTCATGTCCTCCTCCTTGATCCGGAGCCTCTGGGACAGGTACAGGTGGATGTCCTTAATGGTGGCCATGCGGCTGAAGCAGCCGGTGTAGGCCAGCATCCTCTTCAGTGGAGCGTTAGGAGATGGGACATTTCCTGCTGGGGCGAAACGGTAACATTTACAGACCTGAGATCAGCAGTTGTTTTCATCTTGAGCACAAGCTGCAAACAGCTGATTGGTACCAACAACAGCTGACTGAGGATTAGTTGTAAGAAAGCAGCAAGAGGAGCTCTTTGGTCAATTTGTGCAAGCTTGATTGGTAAATCAACTTCAAGACTCTGCTGTTGAAATCAAACACAATCGAGTCAATATTAGTCCAGTTATTCATTAAGTTAGGTGATAATGATTTGATAATTATTGAGGAGTCGTTTTTCCACCAACACAGCTTTGCTGCGACACAGGGAAACATCCCATTAGGTGTTTTGTTGCGCTTGTTTAGTGGAACATGAAGGGGAATCAGACACAAATCAGATGTTCCTTCTGAAGGACTCGGAGCGCAGAGGGATGGAGGTCTTCTGGGGCAGAAACCTGATCGGATCACTTGGTTTGGGCCAGAACTCTCCACTGCTGTTGGGACAAGTGAGCCTAACAAGATTAGAGCTGAAAGGACTTTCTAAGCATCCATATTATCAGTTTATCAGCTGGTCGGATCAGGCTCCTGCTGGTGTCTCTGAAAGCAGCTCCGCTCTGATGGATTTAGGTTTACCAGTATCCGGGTTGGTTTTCACCACAAAAGCCCTACCTCACATGCGAGAGGGCGTTCTTCTCTGAATTTCATTGACTATTTGATGCGTCAAACAACAACAAATCGCGCCGCAATTGGTTTCGAGCTACACAAGAGAATAGGCAGCAGAACTTTTGCCCTACAAGATTTTACCTTTGCAGAGGAGATAGCCCTTCACCTGTTGGATCAGGTAAGATGTTGATCACAAGCTCACACACCAGCCAGTGCTGGAAAGGTAACAGAAAACTAAAGAGAAGCATCTGAAAGGAAATTTAAAGGTTTTCAGCTATATGTTATGTTGGGTTTGTGGACACGAGACTTGTCGTGGACTAGCTATTTGATTGGAGAACATTAATTGGACCTTTATGGATATAAATGAAATGGCTCTTTTCTATCAGTGAAGCAAGACTTTTAACGGTGACTTGGACATTATTTTTCATTTCTGAGTGGTTTGACTAAAGTATTCACCGTGTCTACAGTTATGATTTTATCATGTTGGACAAAACACTGACTTGACCCAGAAGAATGTGAATTTAATTACCACCCCCAGTACATAAAACTCCAGCAGGGACAGTGTCAAAAAGATGGCTGTAGTGTATATTTTAATATCGCGGACGCGGTCGTGAAGCCCAACACCAGATATTTCCCCCTGGAACCAGTGCAGCTCTCTATTTGAAAGTTTGAAGCTTTTAGAGCCACCAGAAGCCAGTTTTTAGCAGGATGAACGTGGAATAAACGGATGTTTTCATCGTTCAAGACGGAAGTCTTCATTAACCACTAAAATCAAATTCTGACTGTTATGGAAAAATTTATGTTTATTAATTCTTGATCATGGACTCAATCAACTGAATGTAAATGTATTGCTCTATGCCTCTCTGCATGCTCACTCATTCAGACACACACACACACACACACTCTATAAATAAACTCTGACCGGATGTTCGGTGCATTATGCTTCGAGCATCTTGCCACAGTTATGACTGTTTGACTTGTTGTTCATGGTCTCCTTCTCTCTTCACTACAGGAAATGGGTTATTGATACACATACTGATAAAATCCATGAGACTGACTGAGACCGTATTCCTGCTGAATCAGTTTCTGAAGCTGTGAAAATGGAAAAACACTGATTGGAATTAATGAAGTTTTACAGTGATTAGTGTTTTCCTCTCATGGACCCATTGGTTCAGTCCTGGGCCCATACAGAACTCGGGACCGGTAGAAACAGTCCACACAAGGAGGATTAAAAAGGGAGTGCGGGATTGCTCAGGGAAGCGTCGGCTAGCGGTTTGCTCTGGTCTTGCTGCAGGCTTACATTACCTCTTGGTGGGGGTAAATACGGTGGAAACATTCGCAGGCTGGTCATACCCATATTGACCCAAATGTTGGACTGGGGGGAGCGCGTGGCTGGCTGCTGGCGGAGGAAGAGAAGGTAGCGGGGGAAGAGCTCCAGCTCGGCTTGGCTTGTCTTGCTGTCCAGGATTACCTACAGAAGGGGAGAGGATGACTGAACAACTCTGGCTCAGAGAAGCACCTAGTTGTGATGCTGAAGAGCTTCAATCCTTAAGATTATATAGAAAAGGTTGATTCAACTTTCTGACTTTTTAGACGAGAGGCTGCAACCTCATTCTCCTAAATATAAAAGACACAAACTTGACTCAGCGGTTAACAATAAAAAAAATGTTTTGGAGCATTTCATCACTCTGTCTGTGCATTTATAAGTTTATGTTGCTTTGTGACTTTATTCTTCTCTTGTTCCGAACAGAGAAACAACACATTCCTTCAGACCTGTGCAGTTGTTCTAATGTGGCGTACGAGACAAACCGTAGATGAACATTCAACATTTTAAACATGTTCAGTCAAAAATCAGGACCTGCACAGGAAATGAGCAGATCATGTTTGAAGCTGTGTGTGTGTGTGTGTGTGCGTGCGTGCGCGGGGGTCACCAAGCTGAATCAGAATCACTAGAGCAGTGGTCCTCGACAGGCAGCCCGTGGGCCCCCTCGGTGGCCCCCGAACCATGCATAAGCTTGTGTGTTATGTGCATTACAGCCAGAGATCCAAACAGCAGCACCTGACCAGACCCTGTGGTCACCTGAACGATGACCTGATGCTGGTTCACTCACCGGCCGTGGCAGGCTCAGGTTGGCACCATACCAGTGGTAGAGGGCCCGCCACACTGGTTCCGGCACCGTCTCAAAGTCTCTGCCAGGCACCAGCTGCAAGGAGCGCTTCAGCCTCCCACCCTCCATTGTTAACGTAGGGGCCTGTGTGTGTGTGTGTGTGTGTGTGTAAGGAGGGGGGGGGCAGTGTTAAAAAAAAAGCAAAGGTCAGAACTATAAATATATGGATACATAAACAAAGAAATGTTTGCATATTTTTTAAAAACATTAGTAGAAAAACAGTTTTATTCATCATCATCATCATCTTTATTCATAAAAGCACCTTACAGACGTGTTATGCCACCAAGGTGCTGAACAGGACTAAAATACAAAAATAAAAACAACAAACACACATAACACCTAAATAAAAGTTACAAGCTACAAGATTAAATAACAGCAACTAACACACAGAATTAACTCATTCACTGCCATTGACGACTAAAGTCGTCATTTGCATTTTTTTTACTGTTTGAGCATCGTAACGAGCCCCCGCGCTGATAGAACAAACATCTCAGCCCTGAAGCTGATCTTCATCCGCATACGTTACAGATCACATGATCAGGAAGCAACACATCCATGTGTTAGGAGATCGTTTTGGGCCGTTCCTGTACAAAAAGTGAGGCGCGAACCGGAAAAGCGTCTGCCGATCACTATTCGACAACGGATTATGAAAGAACGGATAACGCTCGAAACACGCGGCTTCTTCCTGATGTAAGAGGTGAGTCTCCTCTTTGTTTTGGTTGTTTTGGCATCGACATCATCCTAGCGCGCAACATTCTGTGACTCTTAAAAAAACAGTAAAAACGGTGAGAAACGCTACCAGCGAAGGCCGTTAGCGATCAGGAAACGGCTGGCAGTGAATGAGTTAAAAGCCAGATTATAAAAACGGGTCTTCAGCGTCTTCCTAAAAACCTCTACTGACGTGGAGAGCCACACCGATAATGGAAGGCCATCCCATAATTTTGGTTCTGCTACCGAAAAGGCCCCGTCTCCTCTAGTTTTAGGCCTAGTCGCAGGGACCAAAAGCATTTAGTGATTCTCTGAGCGGTGCAAGCGACTAGGTACATATGGCTGAAACAAGTCAGACAAGTATTCTGGCGCCAACCCGATCAATGCTTTCAAAACCAATAAAAGAATTATAAAATGTACTCTTAAAGCGACCAATGCAGAGCTGCCAGGAGGGTTGTCACATGATCATATTTCCTCTTTCATTCTGGGAATCTGGCTGCGGCATTTTGTACAAGAGCTACTGTACTCTTGTCTCACCCAACAAAAACAGTTACAGTGGTCCAAACGCGAGGTGATAAATGCACACACAACAGTCTCGAGGACTTCACTTTGGCCAAACGTCTCAAGTGATAAAAGGAGGATGATACAACCACACCTACATGAGCGTTGTTGCATTTGCTCCTTTTATAAAACCGACTAAATACTCTTTTTATGGAAAACTCAATCTGCTGTAAGAACTAGGTCTACTCAGGGCTACGATGTAACGGTCTGGATGGAGATTTTAGGGACTCTGAGTGTTACAGGCTGAGAAGCTGTGCAAGTGCAGGTGATGGACAGGGTCCCCATCCCCAGGCTTACCTTCATGGGGTCTGTGGTGACCAGAGACTGGTTGTCGATGGCTCCAGGTCTTTGTGCTGTCAGCTGGGAGGGCAGGTGGCCGTTAGCTCCGGAAAAACACTGGTTGTTGTTGTCAGATACATTGTGCTGACGAGCAAAACAGCTCTCTGTAGCTGAGGGGGCGAGCTGAGGGCTGAGGGCTGCAGAGGGACAGGGGAAAAAAACAAAAATAGAAGGGCTGAACGTTACCCGATCCATGCTTTACTCAACCTACAGATGCATTAGCGACAGAGATTGTTCCTCATGAGTGGTTTAGGAGCAACAGGATCAGTGGAGTTCCACCTCAGCTGATGCTGTCAGATCCAGACTTCTGTGTGATTTCTCAGAATAAACCGTTTCATTCCAGAGGAAGATGGTGGATTCTTCGAGCTCTCTGGCTTGATTCTTATACATTTGTGTCTTCAGGATTTCTTTCTTCCTTCTGAAGGTGTCAGACCTCACAGCTGCTGGTTTTGGCTGCACCCATGTTGAATTACAAAAGGAGAGTCTGAGGTGTTGAATTTTATTTTTAGGATAACTCAGACTGGGAACAAAAGTGATCGAGAAGGTGAGTTCCACACATACAGCTCAGTGGGTGGCGGTACGATCCTCTAAACAACAACATCACCCACAGCTCTCCATCCATTCCCGACAGGCCAGATACGACTACTGCCTGCCAACCAATTTGTTAACTGGTGTCAAAGTTTTATTTTAAGTTAATTGTTTCGTAAACCAGTTGAAACCATCATGGATTGGTGTGCGTACATGTGATGTCTGACCTGTTTCTGTAGCTTCAGAGGCAGTGGACACAGCATCAGGAGACTCCTCCTCGGAGGGACTGGAGAGGACAAAGACTCCAAGACCTCCGGGTCTGTCAGGTGGGGCGGGCTCTACGGTGGCTGTGGCCATGGGGGTTCTGAGTGAGCTCAGGATGGACGGCTGTTCCACCACGATGCCTTTATGCTCCTGGACAGTGAGACGAAGACAGCGAGTTAAATGTGTTGCACCTCAGTAAGAACCTCTAAAATCTGGACTCTAACCAGGTGTTCGATGTCGACCTATACAGATAGAGATCAAAAATGAAAGAAGCAAGAAGATATTACTGAATAATAGTGACTGCCGATCGAAGCCCACAGAGCTGCTTTACTCACATATTTAACGTAGTCCTTCCACTGCTGCCACCACAACATGGAGATCAGGAACCAGTTCTGACCTTGCTGCAGTCCATGTCGACTCTCCCTCTCTAACCAACCCCTAGACAGACAGACAGACACACACAGACACACAGACACACACACACAGACACACAGACACACACACACACACACACACACACACACACACACACACACACACACACACACACACACACACACACACACACACACACACACACACACACACACACACACACACACACACACACACACACACACACACACACACACACACACACACACACACACACACACACACACACACACACACACACACACACACACACACACACACACACACACACACACACACACACACACACACACACACACACACACACACACACACACACACACACACACACACACACACACACACACACACACACACACACACACACACACACACACACACACACACACACACACACACACACACACACACACACACACACACACACACACACACACACACACACACACACACACACACACACACACACACACACACACACACACACACACACACACACACACACACACACACACACACACACACACACACACACACACACACACACACACACACACACACACACACACACACACACACACACACACACACACACACACACACACACACACACACACACACACACACACACACACACACACACACACACACACACACACACACACACACACACACACACACACACACACACACACACACACACACACACACACACACACACACACACACACACACACACACACACACACACACACACACACACACACACACACACACACACACACACACACACACACACACACACACACACACACACACACACACACACACACAGGTTAACCCAGCAGGGGAAATGGAAACTGAAACCTAGACCAGAAGGACAGGTACCTGATGATCTGGCCCTCCTCTTCAGGAGTAGCTGGCCTGAGCCCCAACACGATGTGGCAAACCTGGAACAAGTCACATTGAAAGTGACACTGAATAACCACGGTTATGGTCTGGACACTAGAAAAAACTAGAAGTAGGTGACCCAACCTGGAAGAGCAGGTTGAGGAATTCATTGGCCAAAGCACTCTTCACACTCCAGATCTGGTAGTCCTCTAGGGTCAGGTGACCCAGCTAAGGGGGGACAAGAAACACTAAGGTCAGCATGCTGGGATTCACTGGTTTACTCTCAGAAAACATACCTCTCAACTTAAAAACACTGGTTAGCGCACAACACGATGCTCTTAGATAAATCTAAATCCTGTTCAATGCTTTTTCAGAGAAATCCTTCCTCTGCTTTACTTGGTGAATTAAACTGACATTTGTTAGATTTGTCTCAACTTAAAGCTTCTGAATCAATTAAATATTTGGGTGTCTGACTACAGCCGGGTCCATCTTTCAAAAAGCACATCAATCAATCACAAACGAGATCAACTTGAGCTTAAAAACCTTATATCGCTCAATTACTGCTTTGATTTTTGCGTAAGAAAGCTCGTTTCCACTGTTAGATTATAGTGATGTAATTCATCAGACCTCTACCACGTCCTCTCCACTCTATTAATATCATTTATAACAGCTTATGTCGTTTTGTATTGCGTAGTCCATTTCGAACTCATCACTGTCGCAAGTATGATCGTCTGTCCTGGCTTTTGGTTGGAGCGAGGCGGAAGAGACACTGGTTGCTGTTTATTTTTAAATGTGTTCATTTTAATTTTCCATCTCATTGAACCTCTTTGCCAACACCGTTCCAGTCTCGACACAATATTCCAGAGCCGATCAGATTTCATTCAAGGTTCCCCGTTTAAAAAAAGGAGTCAGGGAAGCTGGCTTGTTCTGTCAGGGCTCCAGCAGACTGGAACAACTTACCAGCTGCTTTAAGGACTAATCCTCCTTTCATTTGTTTAAAACGTCTGTTATGCCCATTTGTACTTGTTGATTTTTTTAACACACACTAAATCTTTATGTTTATATTTTTCTGTGCTTTTTATTGATTTTCAGGAATACTTTGGGGTTTTGCCCACATATATTTAGGATGCGCCATGCCGAGTTTGTTTGTTTGTTTGCTGTTAATGTTTTCGAATTGTCTTTTCTTATTACCTCTGTTGTCTTGTTTTCTGTTTGTTGTACTTCAAAACGAGTTGGCACATCTCAAGCGGTTAATCCTCTTAAAAACTAAATAAATAACAACCATGCTGGGAACTCTGCTCTGCAGCTTGACTGAGTTTGAGTACTGCAGGTGCGCTACAGTGGTCAATGATATCTAATCTAGATGAAACAGGGTCAGAGAATTAAGGCTACAGGCAGAGAGACTCTGCTCCAACGGTCTGGTGACTGTTTATGTCACAGTGAAAGGATCTGATCATTGGTCCTAACTAATCCTGGAGTTGTTCTCTTGATTCAACAGGCAAACAAAATCCTGGTAAAAAATCTAAAAACAGGTGGCATCAGCTGAGTAGCTTATCAGACTGAAGCACATAGAGCCACATCTCACCTTGGTCGTGTCGTGCGTCTTCAGGATTTCCTCCACGATGTCCGACACACTGCTGTGCAGCTCCTGAGAGGAAAACACAAGGCGAGTGAAGCGAGCTGCAGTCAGCTGGTCTGAAGTTTATTTACAGTAGTATTAAAACTATCAGAACAAAAGTTTTCATTTTTCACATATTTTTGACCTTTCTTAAAGGGGCACTATGGAAGTTTGACAGCCAAAACATGTGTAGAAATAATAAATGTCTTCTTCATACATTCTCCTGCAATGCCCTGATCCTGTAGAATGAGCTCTGGCATTTTTACTGTGATTGCCTGTTTTTCTGTAAAATCACAGAAAAAGAGAGATGCTCGGGTCGAGCAGGCTGCATCATGTGCGTTCACGCTCAAGCATAGCCCGTAGCATTTGCTATCCGTAGCTTTAGCAGCAGCAGAGAGAGGTAGTGCCAACTCAGTGACTTTGTCGCTGTTCCTAACGCCTAGTGATGAATCTAGCTACATTTCTGAGGACCCTTAGCTACTTTCTGTAGAACTTTCTTTTAGATATTTCCTGCAAATTAGCAACAAAATAGCCATTTTTGCTCCGAACAGTTCTTTGAACGTTGTTTCAGCGGTCATCAAGGATATAAATGTTACAGATACATAAAGCATCACTGGCGCTTTAGCTCACATAGTAAGACTTCGGACTCTCGTGCACAAGACCCAGGTTCGAGTCTGGATGTCAACATAGTTTGTTTAGAGTTTATTTTTTACATTAATTGTATATTTTTTTACAGTAAGATGCCCAAATTTTTATTTGAGACTCGCCGAACGGCATTGAATTCACAGATAAAAAGATGTGGGTTCAACTTTCATTTTGGAACAATTTTTCAAGCAAGGGAAGGGAATGATCTGAGCATGCAGGAGGACTGACCCATCATAAACCTTTGTCAGCTGTGCTGAAGAGAAAGGTACAGAACCAAATTATTTAACTAACTAGCTACGCGTTCTCCTGTCCTCTGTCCTCCGGGCCACACACACACACACACACACACACACCCACACCCACAAGGGATTGTCTCAGCTGTTATTTTCATTAAGGAGTGTGCACGTACAGCATGCGCACCTCGTGCACGAGCCTACTATTGAAGCTGCCGTTACGCTTTTGGCCTGAGGGGGCAATCGCGAGCATAAAAATTCAAAAGTCCGTAAAGTCCCTTTAACTCTTCGTTTATAAGTAAATGTCACTTCCATTTCCCAAACAACACTTCAGTCGTGCGTACGTTTTCTAGAATGAATAAGACTGAAATGTACAGCGGAGGTCCCAGAGGCTGTTTCCTGTTAACCCTTTGACAGTGTGTCTGGTGGAAAAGGTCAGAGGTCAAACTGATCCGGTGCATCCTGCCCCGGCCTGTAAGTTACTCACGGGGATTGTGTCGGTGCGATTGTCCTTCCACACCTCCAGCAGGGCCACAACCATTTCATGGAGCTCGTCTCTGGACAGAGCACCATCCCGGTCCACATCAAACACTTTGAAGCAAACTGAGAGAGAAGGAGGCAGAATATAGCTTGAAGGTACATTAGTGTCGTGGAAACATTAAAGCATCAGGTAAAATCCTCCACAAATAAACTTTTCTACATCTAAACCTGAGATCCAGATTAAAAAGCCACAAATATGATGTGTACTGCACTTGTTCTGATAAAAGAGACTTGGTTAGATGATGTGAAGCCTTGGGATTTATTTATCTGTAAACACGACAAAGAAAAACCAAGAGTGGCTTACATTTCTGTCGTTCAGCGACGGGCCCTCTACAGCATGCGGAGAGTCCACATGAAATCTCTTTAAAATCGATGTGATTGTCCCGATTCTCATCAAAGGCATGAAACAAGCCTGAAACACAACATCACAGATGATGTTAGAGCACAGGGAGCGCTGAGGAGGACAGCTTGTAAGTTCATCATAGTCTGTGTTTAAAGCTGGAAGTCATCGACAGCCATCGACTCCGTCCAGTCTGATGGAGTAAAGCAGGTCTTTACATGTGTGGGTGACAAAAATAACTACTTATCACTTCCAAATCTTAGAGGCTGTACTGTGAACCCAACGCTGGGTGTTAACTCTACTGACATTAAGGCACAAATCACATGGCAATTGTGTTGATTTTTTACTTGACTCTTCCCTTTAGACAACCTTAAGAATGTGCCATATTACCGTAACGGGTCTAAAAATAATCTTATGAAATATTCCTGCCATGTATGATGAGTTAAGAGTTCTTTGATCAGCTGGATGAAAATCAGGACCACTCTGATAACCACGTCGGACTGTCTTGGTTTGACAGAGAGGACAAACATCTCATGTTTTGGAAATCATCTGACTATTTTTAAATCCTACCACATGAAACAAGCCTTAGACTCATTAAATGGACTCACCTTCACTCAGTGAAGCGTGGATGGGAGGAGACACCAGCGGGACGAAGGTTTCCAAGTCAAAGCGACCGGTTCTGGACTGAGCCTTCAGAAGCCAGTAGCGCTTCTCCAAGTCTATGATGTCAGACTCCTCCACTGCATGATGAGAAGAGACAACGGGTTAAAGAAAGTCCTGTTAGCAACTCAACCCAAGACATGTGATACAATGCTCACTTGAATTTCGCTATGAAATAAATACGCGTGGATTCCATAAAAATGCCTGTATTCCTGTTTAATAAAAACATTTTCAGCCAGTTTCTGATGTTTAAAGAACAAGTTCACCGAGAAACCATTTTCTACTTATTATTTTTAAAAATAATCAGTAATTCTGAGTTTAATGCCACTTACACACTATCATGGCTCTACTCCACCCGCCCCAGCCCGGCTGTGTTCGTTCCACACTACCTTAGGAATGCTGACGTGATTGATCACATGGGCGGTCTGTGATGTCATTAGCACATCTCTTAGCATGTGGGAGGGGCAAAAGAGCTCAAAGAAGTCTGCGGTGTCTCCTTTATTAAACTAAGGCGGCCTGAGCAGTCAATCGGAGGCTCCCCCAATGTTAGGCGTGCTTTTGAGCCAGCCAATCAGTCAGCAGTGGGCGTGTCTGTCCTGTTCGGCTCCAGGCAGACCTCCTCGAGATGAAGGCTGAAAAAAACGTCCGGTTGCGCACGGGAAAATCCAAGGCTACCTAAATGAGAACACTCCCAACCCGGTTCGGGCGGAGTGGAGCTGATGCTAGTGTGTAAGTGCCACAATACTTAGGCTGTACATGAAACTAGTCTTCTACCCCTACTTCATGCATTAGTTTCTGATAGAAAATAGAAGAAAAAACAATTAGATCAGAAAAGTCTCACAGATCTACATCACGCCACGGCCACCCCTGGCCAAATTGGGGCCCCAAGTAGAGTTTTATTTTGTTCGTTTTACTGTTGTTTTAAAATGAGTTTGTTTTGAGCGTAATGAGAAAGTAGTAAAACAGCGGTCACATGATCAGTTTAGACCAATGCAGCGGCCGCATTTACTAAAAAGATGTTCAATATGGCGGAACGCTTGCGGTGTCAGATTTCGTGTCTATTTTTTCTCTCTTGCGGACAGGCACTGCACTTGTTCTGATCAAAGACACCTGGTTAGATGATGTGAAGCTTTGGGACTGATGCGCCGTGCCTCATGGCAGTGATAGGCACCATTTGCGCAGTCGCAAAGAACGCGACTGACAGAGGGGTCCCCTCTGGGTCACGAGGCCCTAACCACAGTGCATGTTCTGGTTGTAGAGCGGGGCGGTGCTGTGTCATGCTGTCACTTTATTCATGGACTCACTTATCTTGGATGAGAACAGCTCAGCTAGTAGATAGTGACCATTTGCATTAGCAACTCCACTACACAGCAGAACTCCTTCAGGCTTGCGTTATTTGTGGAGATAAAACATCAACGTTGCAAAGCAAACAAAGTTGGTGGTACAGTCATGTTGCTGTTATCCAGTCAGAGGTGAGATGTCTAAATTTCAAGAAATATGTCTCCAAATTCTGCCATCTGCTGCAACTTTATCCTCCAGCTGACTTCTGCATCCTCAAACTGGTGCACCTGAGCTTTTTACCCCAGAGAATGACACAACCCTTCCTGCTAGTGACCACTGCAAAGGTCTCAAAAATAAGAGTAAAGTTGACTTTTGAAATGATTTCGTTTTCATTTTATACAATCACCTAAACATTTGTTTGGCAACAAATGAAAATGAAAGATGAAAAGCAGAATCATCTTAGTTAAAACAAAAACTGATTAAGACAAATTCAGTAATGAATCTGTCAACGCACAGTGAAAAGAAAAGTGCCGAAACATAAGAAACCACCAATTTAATGTTTTATATCAGCATGAATACACGAGTCCTTAAAGGTCTCATTAGTGGTCTCTAGAATAAATGAAATTCTTGTGAGTCGTTTTCGGGGGGGGGGGGGGGGGTCTGGTGCTCCTTTTTCAGGGGGTTTAATATGGTCTTTGGAGTCCTATTCATTTTCATGATATGCAAACATCTCTCCTCTGATAGGCTAACAGCAATGTGACTCTTCCACTGCCTTCATTCACTGTTCTTTGTAGGGTAATCTCCAAAGGTGACAGAAGTATGAATGTGTTCAGCCGAATTGTGGAGTTGCTATTGCTAATAGTTAGCTTCCACTAGCCCAGATGCCCTCTGCTCTCACCAGCCCACTAAATCCACAAAGCCTTCCTAGGTCACAAGCCAAGATGGAGGGCGCCATGAATGCTGATTTTCCTTGTGACGTGGAAGAGATGAGCTTTTTCTGACCAAATTGTTTCCCTATCTTTTTCTTTAATTCATGCTAATAAAGGCAATAAGGAGCCTAAGTCACACCCATCTACTTCCGGACCATGGG